AATGATGAATACATACGTACGGACTAATATATTTGCAGTAAATTACATTGAAAATATTATGCCAGTTAAAAATAAATGTACATATGACACGATACAGTTTAAACAAGTGTAGTATGTATACCTTGGCAATAAAGATTTCATTGACACATATATATATATTTATATATGTGTGTGTAATGAAAACAAATTTAGAAGTACTGATGTAGAAACACTGAGACGTAGAAACGTGAAATACCGATGGCGCAGCATGTAGATAGCATAGAACACAGATCTATATTGAAAAGGAAGAATTCTGATAGTGCAGAATGTTAAAATGTTGGATCTGTAATGACTAGGAAACTTAGCAGTCGAGATGGATTAAATTTCATTTTTATTTCAATTGATATTTGTGACCATAATTTATTTGGCACTCTAATCGTGCCTATTCAAGAACATTTACATTTTTGATACTGTTGCGATAGGAAGACAGCGGAATGAAATAGCGTCCAAGCGGCCGAAAGGTACAAGCAAAAGTGTGCAGTTGTCTTATATGGAAGCTCATCAATAAAGGTTTTGGTTTAGCTTAGAACGTTTTCTGTTCTCAAATTTTTGCATTTAGGTTCTGAATCAGCTATATCAATAGCGTCAAGCAAGCCATGTGATGTAGATTGATCTAGAAATGACGCAGTCCAGAAAATGTATTACGCTTTTTAGAATACGAAGAGAAATACCCAAATTAAAAATGAGGAATTAAGAAGCTATTACCAAATTAAATTATGAAGCTGATTTACACATATATATATAATTCAGGGAGAACTTCTGTTAATTATAATAAGTTTAGGATGCCTGGGACAGAACACACTAGTTATTTTTAATCATGGGCGACATGGTTATAGATGTGGCTGGCATGCAAATGGAATGCGAAATAGAGGAAATTTGCAGGCGTTGGCGTAGACAACAAGGCGCAATTTTATTTCTTGATGAATAATTCTAAACACATATTCTCGTTTACGTATCACTATGGGTAACATAAGCAACCTACAGTTTTTCGTAACATATCATATTTTTTCAGACAAAGGAGGAAGCGGAGCAGCAAAGCGAAAACATCTTAGCTCCAACAAAGCGAAGTGGAAAAAAGTGTTGCTCGATAATAGCAGTTGTATTTATAAACTTGATTTCTTTGATTAAACTCTGTTTTAGTGATCCGATAAGAGCTGTCGCAGCGCAGAAGGATTACGTAAGCAAGCAGGAAATGGAAAGACCCAGTCCTTCAGAAAAAATTATTATAAACAATTTGACTTTTATGACTAACGTAATTGAAAAGTAAAACTAATTTGAGAAATTTTGACAAATGAATATTGTAGTTAATCTATAATTGTATAACACAGAATTGATAAATAATTGTATGTTAATATGTAAAGAATGAATATGTTGAGGAAGTACTGGTTCAAAAACAAAGGCTAAATTTTACCTCTGTACAAACGATCCTTTTACCCTCCTCATACAGTATAAACTTTGAAGGCTCGCACTTTATGAAAAAATGCAATTCTTTTGTATAGAATTATTTTTATTTCTATTTTTTTCATATAATGGAATGCGATTGTATTTTTTATATATATATATAGCTGAATGTTTTACTGCAGTTCAAAAAGGCCAGTTACCATACCGGACTGGCAGCTTTTAGTAGTACCTGCCGAGTATTCCTTAACCACTAATACTCAAACAGTCAGTTTAAGTAGATATGCCTAATAGATGGAAATGTTTGTAGTAGGAAAGAGTTATGGAGTCTTTAGTTTTGTGTAGTATAAGAAAATTGTAAATATAATAACAGCATTTCAAAAATGCATTTACAAATAATGTTAAAATACAAGTTATCATAATGAAAATTAGTTACAAAATTTAGAAATTTTTTGTAATTATCCAAAATAAGTAAATGGGTGGATAAAAATGTATATATTTGTGATACTGTGCGAAAAGTTTTGAAACGCTTTCACTGAAAAAATATGATTATGTGAACTCTAAAATACAGAGAGTTCTGGAACGAAAGGACTTTAAAATATTGTCAAAGTTTAGATTTTTTCATTTATTTAAATACTTATTTTGTGTCAAAATTTTATGATTTGTATTTTTCAAGTTATGTTTCTCTCCATTTGCTAATGCTTTAATGTTTTATCTCTAAAAATACTTCTCTGTCGGCCTGTTCCTCTGAAAGAAAGATATGTAAGACAAAAATATGTAAATCAAAATAATAATTTAAAATAGCAATAGCTCCCTAATTCTTCGTTTTAATTTGGTTATTTCTCCCCTGTGTATTCTAATAAAAGTAATAATGTTTTCTAGATTGCTTTATTTCCAGATTAATTACTTTTACATAACGATAATGATATAGCTAATTCGGAACTCAAAATTTCGAGAACCGAAACCTGAATTAACTTCAATATTGTATAACTACGCAGTTGCCACTAAGACGTTGCGGTAAGAAGAAATCAGCACGGCAGTAATAGAAGAAAGGTAAATATTCTGGAAATAAGCACGATTAAAGAATTCAAAGTGAATTGTGGCCACAAATATCAATTGAAACAAAAATGAATATTTAATCTGCCTCATCTGCCAAGTTTCTCTTCATTACGGATCTTAGTAATGCAATCAATATTTCTACATCATTACATCTAAGTTTACAACAATATAGACATATATCAAAAATGGCTAAGAGTAGCTTTGATGGTTAAACCAAAATTTAACGCTTCTCATTTCTAAGAAAAATTCCATGCTATATTAAGAAAAATTTCAGGCTTAATTAAACTTTCATGCTATATATATTCGTAAAGCATTACTTTCTAAATGCATACAGTTTAGTTTCCTCTACCAGCACATACGCATTGTTTTCCTTTAATATATCTCCCTCTTAAATAAGCATGTTTTTAAAATCGTTCAAAATATGTATAAACTTTCTAAGGGCAAGTTAGATATAGTATAGATACATGTAGAAAGAGTATAGATATATGTAGAAAATCTTCGGAGTATCTAGTAACATTGCAAACTTGTGATATGTGATAATACATTATAAAATGCTGCCATCAGATAAATATTTAAGTAACAAGAAGCTTGTGTAAAGAAGGTGAGAGAAGAGAGAAAGAAGAAAAGAAAAACTGCATCGCATAAAAAGTTTTTATTCCGCATACATTGCTGATGCTCAAATAACGTTTTCACATTTTATTTAATGTTGACAATTTTACTTAACGAAAAATATTATTGTGAAAAAAATGACACAGAATAATATTTTATGATCCGTAATTCGGTTTAGTAACAACACAGAATTTCCTTTGTTCTTCTTTACCAAAGAAAATTACATTTAGTTATTAAAAGTAAATATATTGAAGCTTAGTTGTTTATGCTGCTGTATCTTCTGAATACAATAAGATGACATCAATAGAAAAGTGTAATTCCAGACTAAAATAGATGGCCCCCCGCGTTTTGGAAAAAAAAATTCTTCGACGTAGTTTCTGGAGTACTGTATGACGATCCGAAACCTAAAAATAATGTTACTGCTTGAGGAGGCTGGTAATTTTTTTAAAGGGGAAAAAACTGTGAATCGCGTTTACACATTTTTTTCAGCGTCTTTCACAAGAAATTCGCCAAAAATAAAGAAAATTATTACGACATATACGAGATAGATTTAATGTCTTTTCCAGATGATTTAGTGTCTTTTTCTGCTCAGGAATAAAACGATGCTGTAAAAATCATAAGAATAGTCGGTTTTGATGCCCAGAGTTTAATGCCCTCTAAGCGAAAAAAAGAGAGAGCAGTATTGTTTCCATGAAATTGGATAGTTTCCAAACTGATAAATTTAAGCTTAGTCTGCAAAAGAAATATGCTTTGTGCTGGAAAAGAAAACAAGGAAAAGATATTTCTTCCCAAAAGTATCTCAATGTAGGATTAAATACTAGCTTCTTAGAAAACGTAACACAATTAAAAATTTCTTAAATATTGACGCAAATCTGTCGGCTGTTTTATATGTTACCACTCTGAGTTGGTTATTTATATCCATATGTATATACATAAGTTTTAAAATTTACTGCAAATTACCTCATTAAATGAATATTATCTTGTCTCCTTGTTTTCTTTTTTATCCAAATATTTGATTGGATACCATATCTCAATAATGACTATGTAAAGTGTTTTTCTTTTAGTTTGACAAAATTATACCTCTCCCCCCCCAAAAAAAAAACATTCAAGTTGAAAATATTGTCGAGTTCTAATTTAAAGAATGCGCATTTAATAATCTTCTTGATTTAACGAGTTCTGTCCGTTTTATTAGCATAACGTCAAGCAAAGAATCTTGATTTAATGGATATTTCATTCCGATTAAGCATATCATCACAAATCAGCATGCTCGGGCAGCATATTTTCAATTTAAAGTGACAGCATTATGACTAAAAATTCCTTGACGATTCTGTTTGTGAACCTTTTGCTGTAACTATTTTTAAAAGCCTGATATCTGTCTTTTTGCGCATAATCGATTCCATAATTCACTATTCTTTTATGTAATGCCACGTGTTTTTCAAATAGAATAATTGTTGCCTATTATAATTTCTTGCTTCTTATTTTAACTTTCACGTGCATGCAGCCTTTCCATTGTTCCTGTATGAGAGAAAGTATGCCTTCATAGTAACCTTCATAATAGCCTTCCCTTAATATGAAAATGCCTTGTATTCATGTTATGCGTGGAGAAAACCACGAAAATGCCCCTACAGCCAATTCGTTTGTCGAAACTTAAACCCCGGTGAAAATACCAGGTTTCAGTAATCCATAGGACCATTGGTTGGTAATACGTAACACTCTGTGCGCAAGACAACAAATGTGAGAGTTATGGAACGAGAGGAAAAATATCTTCACAAGAACATCATTTTCTGACAACATTTCACAAGACATTTGACACTTCACAAGAACAACATTTTTTACATCGACCTCACCTGGTAATAATATAAATTTAAAATGTCAGTACTTTCAAAATTATTGGCATGTTGAATTCTAACATGAAATGTGCAATTAATTTTCTTGTAGGCTGTGGTCTTCTGGCGAAAGGTGTCGCTGCTGTTTTAGGACCACAATCCGAACTACTCGGCATGCATGTACAGTCCGTCTGCGATGGTTTGGAAGTTCCATTCATTGATTCTCGCTGGGATTATAGACTCAGGAGGGAAAACTTGGCTGTTAATCTTTATCCGCATCCTAATGTACTGAGCAGTGCTTTTGTACGTCTTATTCAGATTTGGGGATGGACTGAATTCTTTTTGGTTTACGAAGAAGATGAAGGTGAGCGAAATATATTTACATTAAGCTTTTTTTTATTTTTACTTTTGCAGATTACAAAACGATTGCTTCGTGGAGGTTGGCTTTAATTAAGGAAAAGTTCACCTAAGTTGACTGCCTTGAGGAGGGTTTTAAAGGAAATTGCCTCGTATTCAGATTACACATGGGCCAAATCACAAAAATCTATCACACAGCCATTCACAAGACTCAGATTCATCTCGAGATATCAGCATGCAGAGATCAGGTTTACTTGGTGGCTTCTGAGTGGTACCATTAAGAATTAGTACAATTACTTTTAAGAAGTCAGTAGTGATTTGGCAAAAGGAAAAACAGAACGGAAATGTGATTAGAGCTGTTAAATATTGCAGCAAGTGAAGTACGATGGTATTAAGTACTCTTCTTTGTGAATTTATCAGGTTAAATGTTCCGCCTTACTTTCTTTGGGAACATGCAAGGACCTGACTCGGAACAGGGAGCTTACTAAAGCTATGTTAAATAAATGTGGGAAGTAGACAGGATACACAGGAAGGGTATACAAAAACCCTTTATTTTTCACTCTTTACAATAATTTCCGTACTTCGGAATACAGAGACCAACTACTTGTGGTCTGAACGTAAGAATATAAAAATATAACTAAACTCTAACTTAAATTTTGGAATAATAAACATGGAGGATTGGCCTTACATTAACAGGAAGCCGTATGTAGTACAGAGAACTGTTAGCACTACAATACGTTTAAAATTATCACGAGGATTAAACCTCTGGCCTGGAAGGCAACTAGCAACTGAGTAAAACTTCTAAGGTAAGCGGCCTGCTTCGACTAACTCCTTCCTCTCTCTCGCTTGGCAAAAAGCCACAACTTAAGTACTTGGCGTTCGCCAGACAAATTTTGCATAAATAAGTTAACGCTTTTAATTCTGGCCGGAAGTACAAAATAAGAAGTGATAGTAAAGATTTAAAATAAAATAAACGTTAGTAAAACTTAAGATCCTTACAAATTATTCGAAAAAACATGTTAATTTTATTCAGATGTCATTTAGAGTTTTTACAGTATCAACTCTAAATACAAATAGTTATTCCAAACTATTGCGCTATTGCCAGTTTTTCACATATTTTATTTAACACATAGCAATTATTTTCTAAGATCGCAAAATTTTTTATACTACTATTATAGAAGGAGAAACAAAAAAATGAATGCTAGAGTAACAAAGATTTGAGCTTCAGATACTGGTAATTAGGCAAACAACAGGAATAACATAGGATCTATACAGAAGAAAGTTATAATTCTCTTTTTCTTTCAATGCAGTTTTTACAGACGTTACGGGCCGTTATTTTAATATCGTTAATCATTTTAGAAACGTACATACAACTCGGGATGTCATACCCTATTCTCCGTTCCCCACCCAGAATAATAAATTTATACCATAAAACTTCAATTTAGATTTTATTATTCCATCTTAATAAGTCTTCTGTGCTGTATTTCAGAAATGACGTACGTTTTTCGTAAATTCTTGAAAAGGGAAACATATCAATAAAAAACATTGTGAAGTTTCCTCATGATTTTTGGAGCAACGTATTTAATTTTTATTTAGTTCCATTTGATTTGTATTTTGTTGCATATTTTTCAGAAAAGTACATAAGTAAAATTTCAGATTTTCTTTTATCCCATTACATGAATGTATTTTCTTTACTTCCATTGTCAGTTGGGCTCATTTAAAATTCTTTTCAGTATGCATATGATTACCGTGAATAAATGCCACTGCAAATGTTATTGCTGAATACTGGTAGTTCGACTGAGGGTTAACCCGGCGAAAGGGGTGTCTATCGTAATTTTCTACGTTGTTCTGAGAGTACATTAATTCATTAAACATTTTTAGACAAAAAACTGCTCTTCAGTAACAATGTTTTTCCAACAAGGGATCAGTACAAATAATGTGTATGTGTATGTGTATGTTAATTATGGCAAAGCACACTAGGGCTATCTGCCTAAGGGGAGGGATGCCTTCGTGGAGGACTTTCTAAGGGAAACTGGCTCGTATACACGTTACACATGGGGAAAACCACGAAAACACCCATGCAGCCAGCCCGTTCGCGGGATTCGAACCTCGGACCGAACTACCAGTGTTCAGCGACTTTACCGCTCGGCCGCTGGTGGGCCAGTACAAATAAAAAAGCATAACTTTGATTATTTTCAGAAATTCGAAGCATGCTTTATAAATTCTGAAAGAAAAATGAGCTCGATGGTTATAATAACTTGGTTTCTTAAATAGAAACTCAAAAAAAAAAAAAAAAACTGTTTGAAATTTTTATTTTTTTTTAAGGACATTTATTATATATTAATATTTTATTTTAAGGACATAATAAATGTCCTTAAAATTAAAAAAAAAAAAAAAAGGTCCTAACATTTTAAGGACATTTATTATGTCCTTAAAATAAAAATAAAATATTTTATGTCCTTAAAGGACATAATAAATGTCCTTAAAATAAAAAAAAAAAAAAAAAAGCGACGAAAACACTTTTAATACGATTATACCTGAGTTTTCAAAGAAGGATTTGCTTTTAATTTTAATTCGTTTATAATTATCCGAAGCTGAAAATATCAAGTTTTTAATTTCAGATTGAGTCATTAACTATTTCTTTAACTAACTTCAGTGTAAAAAAAATAAATTTAACAAACTCAATTGTTAACGGTTATTCAGTAGAGAGTATACAATACGTCTTATTAGGAACCGCTTTTATCTATCATACAGTTGTCATACATGTTTATAAAAATCATTTATTAATTATACTGTTAGTTGTATAAAACAGATACATAAAGATAAAATATTTGAAAATATGGTAAAATTATTTTTAAATATTACAATTCTTATTATCCATATGAAATAAATTGAGGTTTCAAAGACAAATTAAAGATCTCTGTCAATACTGGCAGCAGTCAATAACTAAATGGCTGAATAGTGTTATGAAATTATAATAAAACGTGAAGTGATGTTGCGACCATACTATGGTCGTTTGTAACTTATAAAAGCTTGAATTTCTATCAAAGGTTTAGCTGCGAATTAAAGCAGAAATCATAAATAAAATGGAAATTTGCTTATGCGTTTCTGGTTTGAAAACTCTTTATAAGATTCGTTTTTCATAAATCCCAAAATTTTATTTAGAGTATAATAAAACTATTTTTTGTATTAATTATAATGCAAATTATGGAAACTACAAATAAAAAAAAATCTGAAAGGTTTCAGATTTTAAATTGCGTCCAAACCGGCGTTTTTTAACGTTTTGTGTGTTACCTTTATTTATTAAATATCATGTTCTTTGCACTTAAACCATAAAATTCAGTTCAGCAGCAATGTCGCAAGATAATTTTAAAATGAGCATATCTTTAGAATTTCTGATACACAGTTCCGCGCCCGCTGGAGATAAAAAAAATTTTTTTTCCCCACCGTAGAGTGTTGCCATTGCTCGCTTTTAAATCGTTGAGTTTGCTACTCAAAAATTCGTTAAAGTTTTACAAAATATGAAATCGCTAATAAAACAAATTCTAAATTTCAAATTTGGTCTTCCACATGCCTATATTCGTAGGAGGATTATGTCATTTAAAATTTGATGGCTCTAGGTACCGTTGTTCTATCACAATGTGAGAAATATGCATACATTTATGCAGATTTTTCATTATTTAATTTCTTCAAATATAATGCAGGACTCTAACATTTGGTGGCAACAGTTTGAAAAGTGAAACGGACATTTATAGTGATTCAACGCAAAATCGCAAAATAATTGTCCTTCAGGGACAAAGCTCATTTGGACTAAAATGATTTTAAATTACCTGCCTTTTTTTTTAGGCAACTAACTATTTATGCACGTACATGCGAATAGTTAAAGCTTGGTAAGAAAATAGCTGCTGTTCAAAATGTTTTCTAGTTAAATACTTTTTTAGATAAGTTCTGTGAATCACATTTCATAATTATCGTTTTAAGTTATTATATTGTATACCATTTTAGCAATTGTTCGAATGAAGGAATTTTTAATCGAAGGCGAGAAGCAGGAATGGAAGATCAAACTGTACAAGTTTAATCATTCCTCATCATTTCGAGATACGTTCTGGAAGATCAAACGATCAGTGAAGTTACAAAGGAAAGAACTGAATATTCATATAGTCCTTGATGTTTCCAGGGAGAACTTGTACACTGCTATGAAAGCAGTAAGTCAAGCTTGATATTTTTATTACTCGTTGATATTCTTATGAATATGTGATTCTATACAAATAAAGCTTGGTTATTAATATATTAACATAACGGTTACACAAACCGAGAAAATACACAAGAATCAAATCTCCGTTGCAAATTAAATAGGGAAATGGAAAGAACTTGCGCCAGAGTAAGCCTTGTCTCGGGCCTTACACACTCGCTAAGCTAATGAGGCTTTTCGTAAATAAAGATGATTAATCAATTCATGCAGTCGGTACGCATTCCCCCCCCCCGAGGGTTGACTTAGGTGAATGCTTGGGAAATACTGGTTAGGATCTGTACCTAGGCAGTCTCAACTACGGGGGTATATAATTTGACTTCACAGGACTACAGCCCGAGTATTGTAGTTGGGTTGGTTCAGGCTTGGCAGGGACCGTACTGGTACAGTCCTGTCTGTTCCTTCGGCTGTGGTGGAGCTATATGGAAGATTTGTCGACTGACCCCATTCAGTTCTCGTGGCGGGGACTGACAAAGTGGACAGAGCACCTATCTACAATGTGGTTTTGCCGATGGAGTGGTGCCCGGAGGCAAGGTGCCCGGAGACAAGTTTCAAAATAGCAACGTTTTTCGTTCTGCCCAATGCTTCGTAAAAGCTGGGTGGGGACTGCGGGGGTTGCGCCCGCGAGAACGATGTCCCACGGACGATGGATGTTTCGAACTCTAAATGGGTCCCGTATAATGAGGACCTGGAACGGAGGTTCTTCGTCTGGTGTGTCAGTCTGTATGCATAGCAGAGTAACGGTCAGCAACAGCTGCCAAAAGCACACTCTTTAACCCTTCGATTACATACTTTAACTAATTTTCTAACTGGTTACAGTTAACGGAAATAGAAGTTATAGTAATAACAAAGTAATATGATAACTAATTAACTTGAAGCCTTACAAATTTACGCCTCTTTGTACTCTTCTTTTGTGAGAAGCTGGAAGAGATGAAAATAAGTTTGTTGTTAAACAGCAGTGCTTTGAGCAGATTTTTTCTGAGAAATTTTTAGACTTGTATTTGTAAAAACAATAAACTTTTATCTTTCACTTAAGCATCATTCCCTAGGAAAGCATTCTTTTTTGTAATTCTCATCATTTAGTAAGACAAAGACGTTATGCTACATTGCTGGAATTATTCAAAAATGTTTCTCAATAAATAAGGAACTGAAGAGCCGCCGAATGCACTCAAGTCTTCTGTGTGAAAACTTCAATAAACGTGCACTTTATAAAATTTAGTGAAAGTAATTAAACTAGTAAACATATTAATATGTATAATAGAAATTTATTATTCATAAGTATTAGAGAAATGTACATATATTACAAATAGAAATTTATTATTCATAAGTATTAGAGAAATTTACATATATTACAAAGTGCGTTGCATAAAATCTGAAATATTATTAATATAAAGAACAAACCCCTTTAAATAATTTTATTAACGAGAAAACAGGGTTGGAACAAATATCAATTGGCCTTTTAGAAAACGAAATTCCAATGAATGTTTGTCTTTCAAACAGTCGTCTTGTGATGTCATTTTACGAAAAATTGAAACATACAGAAATTAAAGATTAAGATGAAAAGTAAATATAGAGGGCGCTACACAGTATTAAGTACAAGAAAACATTATACGCATAACAAATTAATTTGTGTAATTTTCACCATGTATAAATAATAAAAAATGAAAAATAAAAATCAGAAAATAAATACTGAAATGGAAGCGTCCGTGGATAACAAAACAATCTCAGGCGAGGCATCCCCTATTAGCGTACATTAGTAATAGTACAGTTAGTAACTTTTCAGCAATGTATCTTAAGAGTTACATAAACGATTAGCTTAAAATTTTCATGCTTTTGATTAGTAAAAATGACATTATACTTTCAACTACTAGGTTTCTTGTCGTGATTCCCATATAGTGATGTCAACTACTTTTTGTGACTCCTGTAATCACTTGATTTGCTCACCATTTCATTAGAGTTTAATTCAAGTTAGCAATTAGCTATGCAAAAATTCAAATCCAAATTAGGACCGATGTTGAAAAGTTGGGTTTTTCTGATATAGTACTTGAATAATTTTTATTTCGAAAATTAAAAAATATAAACAGTAGGCTCCTCCACCTCCTCAGTGGTACGATACATCGGCGTGGGGCCCTGGCTTTCTGAAGAATTTTCTTCCAGACCTCTCTTTTCTTGGCCATGGTCTTCCAGTTAATCACTCTTAAAGTGAAGAGGTCTTCTTCCAGGCAATCTACCCATCTGAGGTTGGGTCGGCCCCTAGTTCTTGGGCCAGGAATATTTTCTGCGTTGTGCGCTCCCAGTTCATTCTAATAATGTGGCCAGCCCATTTAATCCTTTGGATTTTCATGTATTTCACGACGGGTTCTTTGTGGGTACGGTGAAGCTATAAATTTGTGTGTCTGTGCCAGACACCATCAACTTGTATTCCTCTAGAAATAGCTCTTAGTATCAAAAATACCAGAATTACAATAATATATAGTAAAATAGTAAGTATAAAATTACTGCTGTGATTAAGAATGATCAGTATTTTAAGCATAAGAGCGACCAATATTTTTATCAGACACATTTAATTCGAATAACTCATAGATAGTCTTGGTGCCAAAACGTTTCTCTCTCGGAAACTGAATTTATAACGAAAATATCAATATATCATAATTTTATCTGCTCAAATGTGTCCTTGATAAATGTAAAATTTACAAACAATTTACAGCGTAGCAGTGAACTATATTGCGACTTTCACTGAAATATATTAGTAAATAACATTACAGAGTTCTACTTCTCAAATGATTCTTTTTTTAGGCTCAACAAGTTGGATTAATGACTGAAGATCAAAAATACCTCATAACTAATTTGGTGAGTATCTGTTTGCTAATTAATTTTTTTATTTATATTTTATGATACATTCCAAATCATTTTAATAGAAATTTAGTGAAAACGCACAAAACATGCAACGTTTAAGAGTTGAAAATGAACAACTAAAATATGTATTAATTCATAAAAAGTGCAATGCTTGTTTAAAGAAAAAATGATAAAATATCTGTCACTTGCCTGTCATTCTACTCTTGAGAGCCTGTTTTCTTCTTCCCTTCGATTTGTCTGAAACTATGTTTCTAGGAGTTAAAAAAAAGGGGAAAGGAGAATTTCTAAAGTTAGCAAAGAAACCTAATGCTGTTATCACATCTAACGATGCATGAGGAAAACAAGCTTCATCTTGTCCTATCATTAGAGCGCTCCTAGCCGAAACATGTTTCACCGGAACTAATGTCCCGGCTAGCTAACGTACGCCATTTTACAACTTCGAGAGAAAATGTTAAACTTGTTTACTTCCCTCGTAAGTTTTCCCCAAAGAACTGGTTTTCGCTTTAACCATCTAATCAGACATTCGGTAAATGAAAAGTCGGTTTGATGATTGAAAATAAAATGTGTATCATCATTTTCTATAATAAATAGTTAATATATAAGTAAATAAACTATACTTATAATGCAAGATTTTCAAATCCATTTGTTTTCAGAAATTTCGATTTTTGATTTTTTTCCTTTGCAGTCTATTTTAAACTATAGAACAATCAGCTGCCAGACAGTCCTTGACAAAAATAAGAGTAAAGAAAGTATTTTGATATAGAATCCATGAGATTATAAAGTCATTTCTTTTTAAATATCGTAGTGGTGTTTGTGTAACAAAGAACGAGAACATTTCTTCACATGAACACAAAAGACTATAAAAAATTACCATAAGAAATATATGAGAAAAATGGTTTCACTCTTGCTTTACATTTTTATCAAGCTGCTCGGTAAATAAGCTTCAAGTTCGAATCTCAGATGCCGTGTAGATAATTAGATGACTGTGAAGTAAGCGTTCTTAAAATCTGTTAGTTCGAAAATATTTTCGAGTGGTTGATATAAAGAGTAAAGGGCCTCGGATTCTAATTTTGTGTTGTTCTTGATCAAAATTGGAATAAAGATAGATGAAGCCATAATCTTGTTATTGTTACAATTTTAATGCTCATACTATGTATAATTTTTCGAGTATAAGTGACTTTTTATATATATGAAATTATATATATATATATATATTACTCTTTTTACTGCACAATTTTCCAAAGGTCACCCAAAAATCAAATAATTGTAAAAACCCGAAATCATCATCAAAACCATTCGTTTGATTAAAATAAAATGCATTCGAGCAGAACAAGATCTAATTCAAAATAATATTATTAATAATAATAACAATAATAATCTAAGGCTCAAGTTTATTCTTAGATTATTATTGCTCAGACTCTAAAGCAACATCTTAATGTGATGAGAGCACTATCTTAGTGCGGTGAAAGCATAAAAGCCAGTAAAATTCCAGTAAAAATAAATTCCAGTAAAAAATAATAAATTGTAAATGAAAAAAAAAAAAAAAAAAAAACCAATAAGTTACCTTTATTTTTACTGGAATTTTACTGGCTTTTTAGTCTTCTTGGAAAACTGGGTAGTTTTGCTTTGCTTGTAGGAATTGGACTGATAGAGACACAAATTAGTTTATAGTTTATTGAAGTTTTACTTTGCAAATGTGTGTCACTGTCAGTTCAGAAACAGGCTGATCCATTTACTTCTTTCCTTACCCCCTGATGAAAATATGGCTAAAGATTAAATTCTTTTTATTTCATTTTTTAATTACTTTTCCTCAGAATACTTTCCCTCGGGGTAAGTCTTTCTTAAAATGCCTTATTACTTTGGATGGAATATGGATCCATGTTTCGGATACAGACACAACTCAACAAGAGAATGACGACGGACTGTGGAAGCAAGAGCGAAACAAATAATTTACAGTCAGTCAAAAATTAAGGTAACGTTGTTTTCTTCGATTGTCGGGGAGCTGTGCATCACTAATTTCTACCAACTCTTTAAGTTCTTCACAGAAAGTATTATTTGAGTATTTTGAAACATTTCTCTAAAGCAATTTATAGAAAACAGCCCGAATTATTGCAATATAACTTATATATTTTATATGAAGATAATGTACTTGTTCAAAATACTCTTATTGTTTGTGAATGTTTAGCCAAAAATTAGCAAATACGAATTCGCGAGCTCCATATTCACCTGATGTGGCACCATGTCACAATTTTCCTCTTTCCATATTTGAAATTGCTACATCGTGGTTACCATTTTAGTTTATTGATGTAATTAAAGAAAATTCGATGTGAGTTCTGAATAGGTAGCTTAAAAAAGATTTTAAAATATGTTCCCAGGAATAGGGGATTATTATGAAGGGAATGCGCGTTTTATGGAATCCTATGCTTTACAGCAAATAAAATCTACTGTTTCTAGTCTTAACAGAACGGTGTAATTTAATGGTTCACTTCTCTAGTATGTTATTTACTTTAAAGCTTTTTCTGTAAATAAATTCGTATAATGAACCTTGTATGAAAATATGAATTTTGAATTAAGTAACAGTTTCATTTTACACGCAACTACCGTCAAATTTGTCAAAAGTTTCAGTTAAAATTTCCGAAGTTAGTTCTGAAAAGTTCTTCTGAAGACTAAGATGGATAATGAGCAAAGTACTTTGCTTCTCTTGTATTCTACTTTTGTATGTGAACCTTGCTGACCACAATTGCACTTCTTCGAGTGTACTGTTCTAGAATGATATATTTAGAATGTGTTTCTGCTGATGTCGTATTATTAACAATTAATTTTGAATTATTGTTTCAGGATTTACACACTATCGATATGGAGGACTTTCAGCATACGAAAGCTAACATTACCAGCTTGAGACTAGTACAAGAGGAGACAGCCGAATTCCAGATGGTACTGGAGGAAGTGAATTACAGACTGACTCAGCGGAGGGATGAACAACCCCTCAAAACATTGAAGGTCACACATTATTTGCAGTAAGATACTAAATTTCCTGAATGAACTCAATATGTTTCACGATTTGAATGTAAAAATGCAAAAATAAGAAATGTATTTTTCGCCAAAATATGTTTTGAAACATATTTTTGAGATAATATAAGTTATCCTGTTTAGTAGAATTTTTGAACCAAACATAGTGAAATGAGGTGAAACCGTGACATATTTTATATTACTTATGACTCTACATTCATAGGATTTTAAATAACATTCGAAATATGACTTAATGAATTCATATTAAAGAGTATTTTCTGAACTCTATGTTCCCTCTGTTTAAACGGTTGCAAGGAATTATCAATTTCCCAGTGCCTGCTTTTATAGTGCAAATAAATATGTAATAACTTTACGGAGGCATTCAACTAATAAAGGCAGAAATAAAAAATTGGGGGAACAATAATTTGTCTCCATTTGAGTCTCATTTCCTGCCTCTCAAACGCCCTTTTAAGAGGAGGATAATATAAGGAATTTTCGCTTATCTCATTGCGTACTCTTATGATGCAATTTGTAGCAGGTCCTGCTATCCTCAAAAGATCCAGAATTCGAATCCCGGCAATGATATAGTTAGGTTTTCATAATTTTATGCGAGGGTATAGTTAATTTTTCATAGTTCCATAATTTTTTGTTAGTTTCAAAAATTCTAAAACGCCGTAAGCTAAGTGCCATTGTGCGGTTACCTTATTAACTTTAAGCTGCCAAATTTCCAAATCAACAGTTAGAAAATCAAATAGAAGAAAGACTTCAAGAAGCAGTGGACAAAAGAGGATATCTTCGAGTTAATCGTAGGTAGCAGAAAGACAAGAATATATGAGTTCTGTTATCATCAAACAGTTCAAAGTTTAGGCTTGTTTCTCACTCGTGAAATTATCTTTAGTTTCCCCTCTTCCGAGAAATACGAAACGTCATTTTAATGAACTGTTTCAAAGCCAATCAAATAATAATTAAAACTTTGACTGATGTTCAAATTAATGTTTGCATTTTTTTTTATTTGAGAGCTAATGTTTTAACCATTGTTATTTAAAACGCAATGTGTTTCAATGAAATTTTATGATTTTCTAAAATATTTTCTTTCTATTTTCATATTTCATCTCGTTAGACGGAAGCAGCTTTGTTGTATGATAGTGTCCGGCTTTTATCTTATGCTCTGGAGCAAATGAATCTGGCAAAGAATATTACCAGTATCCCACCCATTTATTGCAAGTCTATGAATAAAGGAATAGATGGAACAAGTCTCGTTAATTTTATGAAAAGCGTAAGTAGGCTCTTGCCAATGCAATTTTTTTATAGGGTGGTTATAATTAAAGTTACCTATTTAGACCCTTGTAGAACCGGTTCTGCCCATTTGATTTTGATGAAACGTGGTATATATGTTACGGTGGAACACCAAAATCTGGAGAATGTTGACTTTCATAGGTGAATGTCAACATTCTCATAGTCTCTTGGTGTATGTCCGAAATATTTTCTAAATACTCTTATTTCTGACTTACACCGGTCAATGTCGACATTCACCATGTACTAATGGTGAATGTTGAACATAAAACAATATTATATTTTCTTCTCCGTAATTCAGTCGCGAATAAACGCACTTGAAACTTGAAATAAGGACTTAAGAACATGAGAACCTAGTATTATTATTAGATTTGAAGAACTTTATTTTCTTTCTGAATTTGTTTGTTATGTATGCAACATACTCTTTAAGTTTCCTTGTAGATGAAGATTTTCTATTAGTTTGCCTTTATTACAAGTCAGATATTCTAAACTGTGAATTTACTCAATTTTATGCCGTCAGCTAGATTACCTTTATCAAGTGTTTTAATTCCATTTCTATGTCTGTGGCCTAACGTAGGATGTAATTTTAGTATGTACTTTATCTTAGAACATGAAGTTACGTACGAAATCATATTTCTTCGTCGAAGGACATTGCAGTCAAATTTTATATGCCTTTCTGAAATTTACCACAAGGTATAAGTATTTTATTCTTTCTAATAGTGCACGTATTACGAAATATTTCAACTTTTATTCGTACATGATTGAACGGAAAGCAAATTATTTCCTAAATCTTGTATTTACAGTAAAACTTTTAAAATTCATTTGTAAAATTTAACCATTTAAATTTGTAAGTTTAAAATAGCTTTCACCAGTACCATGAGAAATTGATTTGGCACCATTGACGATGGTTATTATATGACTATTTGCCTCATTTAATAAAAGGAAAATTTACATTACTCATCAAATGATTTGAAACACCAGAGTCTATAATCCATTCTTGCACTTTTGATTCATGCACATACTCTACGTTTAGAACTTAAGTTGCAGATTCCCAGTTTCAACACCTTCCTTAAAATATGTACTGAATTTGCCTTGAATTTGATTTTATAATTTCTACATTTTGAGTGTTTGCTGTGTTGTGTGAATTACCTTTACAATTTTTTCATATATTTTCCCCCATTCACTTTTATATACATCTATTTTCCAGGAAGCCCTAACTTTGCGATTTAAGTGAAAACACACACTTCTAATATGGTTATTTCTATTACAAAAAGTTCAATATCTTCTAATATTATATTTTGATTTATTCTTTCTCTTACCTTTTAAAGTAATTTAATCATACTTATGAACTTGCTAGTTTCAATAAGTCTACCATATTCATCCATTGATATTATTAGCTTAATTAGATATTGTGGTTTATTTTTAAAGTATTCCAGAGACAATTCAGTTTACTATTTACTCTCAATAACAATTACTAATGGAAAAAATTGGCAAACAATATATTACTTTCTTTAATTGTTTTTACATATACTACGGAGCTACTTAACCTATTTCTGCATTTTTAATACTTTATATATATATATATATAAGAACAAACAATTTATTTATTAAATTTACATGTTCATGAGCTGATATTTATCCATTGATATTTAAATTTACCTTACGTTTTTGGCAGATATATTATGTAAAGCACGTATAATTTGCGAATCTGACATATGTAAGTAAATCAAAGCTTTAGGTTTCCGGTTGTTTCTTAACAAATATAACTAAATTTTTTTTCTTCAAAGACCACACTATTTAAACTTTATTAATTTAAATTTATTTAAATTTAAATTCCCACACGGAATAGTCTCCACTAGGTAATTTTTCAAATACAACCTGATTATTTAGAATAGACATTATATTTTATTATTTTCTGTTATTGTTAATTTTTAGAACAGACATTGTTTAATTGCAACGGATTATCATGCGTTACAATCACTTTTAAAATTTATAACTAGTATCTTCAACAATAAAAGGTTTTAACACTTTATGCCCTTGAAATTTCAACTACAGTATACTTTCTTTTCGAGTTTTAAATTTTAGAAGCATGTTTGTAAACAAATTACTTAATTTCTTAACTAAATTAGGCTCATAATCAATGGTGTGACTCCTAAGAAATTTCTCTGGATTGTCTCTCAACAAAAATAGAAGATTATACTTATGCATTGTAAAGCCGATTCTATGACATAACTGCAGCCTGGGCGTTAGCCTCAAAGGCAGCATTCCACAAACTTCAAATTGTACAGAAGAAGATTCTGAGAAGAACTGTAAATGATCACTACCTGAAAAGAAAGTAATTGATCCATGATGACTTAAAAATCTGTCCCATAGTGGACCGCATTAATAAATAATCATTTCTTCAATACTTGACATAGCTGTGATGCTGCAAACTTTTCAGAAGCTCTTAGTAACCAAATCCTTTCAGAAGATAATTTGATCAGTACATTAGCTCCTCACATGTTTAGAGACCTTAATTTCGTGATCTAGCTTTGACTGCTGTAGTTTTCTTGCGCGGTGTGACGTTTGTCTCTCGTCGACTGCTGAGCATACGTGCTTAGCAGTAGGGTTCACATTTCGCCATCTGCTTAGCGTACGTGTAGTACAGGGGACAATGGTGTCCGCACTTTTAATCGTTCTTGGAATTTCAAATGCTCGCTCGTCAAAAGTCATGTGCTCTCAAAGGCTTAATTTGCTTATCTAGCTTATTAAGGTTTTTTCTGAGGTCACATAAGCAACTTCATAATCCGTATCCGTATCTATAATCATTGGTGTCAGCATTTAAATTTTAAAGACCCTACTAAGATGCTGAGCAAGATATTTTCCGGCACAGATAAAATAATCATAAATTGTAAAAAAAGAAGGAATTTTTTTATTTAACTTAATAAAATGGGAAAAAAAAACCACTGCACACCTAGATTATGAAAATCAGAGTTCGCATTTTAGAAACATTTCAAAATCATTAATAAAATAAATATTCAAAAGTGCTTGCATAAATCTCATAACTCAGTCCTTTGAAACATAATATCAAGTCTACTTTCTAGGTCGTGTTCCTGCTGCAGGCACAATTGGGGCTTGGCAGAAGAGTGCAAAATTCGTCGTTTTTATACATTTTGGCGATTCTGCATCGAATTTCTATGCAAAAATACGGAAATGTTCTAACAATATATGTTTTAAAACTCTTATAAATTAACTTAGTGTTAAATGTTTAGATAAACGTTTTTAATGTTACATCATTTATTAGACGATTAAAGTAGAGAGTTGAAAGTAATAAACTCTCTCCAATTTCTCTGTGTAATTTTATGTAAATAATAGAATACCATGCATGGCTTAAACAGGTGACGAACTTAAAAAAATGTTTTTTCTTAAAATTTATTCTAAATAAAGTGTAAACTTCAAAATAGCTCCTTTTTGAATTTTAAATTACTTTTTATGTGAGTTTTCCCTGTATTATGCTTTATTAATTATAACATAAGAAATTAATGCACAAATGCTTTAACTTTATTTGAAATAAAATAGTTTAAGTGAAGGGACTTTAATCACTAAGAAGGTATATTTATAATGAAAACCTGACTTTCCTGTTTGCGAAACAGAAATATGCACACTAAAATTTATAAAGCAAAAATTTCTTTTGCATTAGTAGATTACTGACAATTGATATCATAAACATGTATCGGAAAAAGATTACTAACAACTGATATTACAAAAAGATATCGAAAAAATAAAAAGATGATGTCAAGTTAGTTCGCTTATTTAAAAACCACCGTTTGGATTTCAAATAAGACAAATTAATCAGATTCATTTATGCACATAGAAAATATATTCCGTTGTTAACAAGAAATCCATACGCGATAATAACAATAAAAATTGTAACTATAATAATGAGGAAATTAAAATGGATATTTATTTAATAAATCGCTTTTTATTTTAAACAAAACTACGTAATTTGAACCCTTCTTTATTTTAAGAGCTATATTTATTGAATGCCATTCTCTAAAATATTCACCTGATTTCAAATTGTCACTAATTTGAAAACTTCCAGTCATGTTTCACTGAAACACCTACAGTTAGAAACAAGCCAAAAGATTTCGGAAACTCATAGCTTTGCATATTGAGGGACTGAATCTTTTGTAACTGGAGCAATATAGTGAGGGTTTCATTTTACAACTCTGCGCCCAGCACTGTCACTTGGCTGTGAGAGAATTTGAAAAATGAAATTTCTAAATGCTGAATTGAAGAAATGGTCTTCCGGAACCTGTTGTTCCATTTTGACAACCTCATTACTCCGAGCTCACAGTATGTGATTTCTTTTTATGGGAGTTCATCAAAAATTTGGTTGATCGTGCCTTCTGTATCGAGCACTTGATGGATGAGCTGAAGAAATTAACAGTTAACTCTGTTACTGTAGATATTCTGCATAAGGTATTGGAAGCATTTACTTTCAATTTAATCGAGTAATCGTATGTTCAGGTCAGGGTACGCTGAATATTTGTGAAAAATTCGTTGAAAATTAGATACAACTGCAATAACTTTGAATTACTATTTATATTGTATAAATTTGTATTGTTTTATTGAAGTTAATACGGCACTCTGAAATCAGATGAATACTTTAGAAGCACCCTGTATGTATTCAATTAATTTCTTTTCCCTGATACTTATAGGCAAAAATGTCTACATCTGGATTGACTGGCAAAATAAAATTTGATGCAGAAGGTTTTCGGTCAGAAGTTTCACTGGATGTTATGTATGTAACTGCAGATGGTCTAAAAAAAGTAAGTTAACTTCCTAATTGTTGAGTTAGTAGCACGATATTAAACGTTTCGAAGAAAATTGAATGAAATTATCGTTTAGTGTATATATTAATCTATAAAATCTTTAAAGAGAATGTTTCATAACAGTAACTTATGTTCTAAGATCAGCGTATTGAGTTCAGTGTGTGTTTAATATACTGTGTTCAATGTATATTCAATACACTATGTTCAATGTATTGAAGTATTTACAGTAAAAAAAGAAACTTTTAAATAAGAATACAAAAGAGCGTATTTTACTAATTTCAAATTACTAGACGGTTTCATGGAAATTTGAGCGATTTACATTGTAATTTCTAAAGGAAAAATACCACTCTTACGTTGACATTATTTGCAACTTTGTGTATATCTAGGGATTTGGGTTCAGAGTCGTTTTTATTCAAGAAGTGCACTGGTTTTGGACCTAGTGTGCTTTTTACATGTACTTCTAACCTGCTAAATATACTGAGCTTAATCTGTAACCCTAACTGTGAAGTGAAAGAGCGAAAGTAAAAAAAATGTTTCTAGAGATGCGAAAACATAATCATATGTAAGTATGAAATTCTTGGTGTTCTAAAATTATACAGAAATGAATGTTATGGTTACTAAAAAAGGCGAACAGTATTACTATCTAAATTTCTGACCAAGAGATGGCAAAAAATACAGGGTGAATCAGAAATATAGCTTTGCCTTTGAAATGAAATATAGTGTATTACTGTATATTATAGAAAGAAATAGTGAATGGTGTATTAGAGTTGATACTAACCACTGATTGAAAGTTAAGATGGCGATGAACCATCAGCAGCTACTTGCAGCGTAAGGGAGTGCATGCCAAAATACTCATACAGTCATGTGACCGGCGAGATGTGATTAGGAGCCATATTTCAGACTCGTCCTGAATAATCAAGCACTTACCACTCAACTAGTATCTCTTTAGTCAGTTGCTGCTCTTAAACTCTTGACAGACAAGATATTTTGATTGGTCAAAATCTAGCTGCCATACTTAGACAAAACAACTTACACCAAATCATTTTATGATCCATTCTCATCATGTATTTTAGTGTAATTTTCTAGAATCTAGTTGTATTCCAGTATCTAGTTCAGATTTACAGTACCCAGTTTCAGCTTTCCAATATCTAGTTTAATATTTCTGGTTCAGTATTTCAGCAGTTTGTATTCCGGTATCAGTTCTAGTATTTCAGAATCTAGTTGTATCTTTAGTGTATTTCAGAATAGTAAAAACAAAATAAAATTAAATTGGGGAAAACACATTTAGCAATTTAAAGATAAAATTGCAACTTAACTTCAAAAAAGAAAAAAAAGTTAGTAACACAAGGTTAAAATAAAAAAAATTGAAACAAATTATACAAATAATTGAATAACTATGAAATATTACGATTATTATTAAGTATTATGTTATTGTAGAAATAATTGGACAACTATGAAAAGCAAACATTTAACACTTTTTAAACAACTTTATTGGATTATTCTTGTGCTTGATAATAAGTTAGGAAGGGCCATTTTAATAATGCAGCTTGTAAATTGTTTGATCATCAAGTAATCAATAGAAAAAAATCTGATGTGTACACCACATGACTTCCTTGTACGGAATATTAAATTATACGCATTTTTTCTTGCATTTCATTTAAACTTATTAGATTGAATTAAACCTACTTCGCCGACAGCGCATAAACCACAATAGAATAAATGCATTCTTTAAAATTCCCTTTGTTTACCATAGCGACACTCTGGCGCTATGTTTACTTAACAGTATTATGTTTCGTTCATATAATAACTCAGAATGCACAAAATTTATATCATTTAAAGAATTATCTTATCGTTGCCACATGTTCTATTCAAATACTATAATAAAGCTAGAACTATGTATAAAAGAAATTAAGAAAACAAAACAAAAAAGAAACAGTTTTTCACAGACGATTGAGTATTTCTCATTCAATTAATTCAGTTTTCACTTCGCGACAAGGCAAAAATACATAAAAACTCAAAATATCTGTATTAAAAATTCCGAAGTAAATCTTAAACACTTATTTCCTCGAAAAAAAATTCCAGAAAGGATAAAGCATGATTTAATTTGCAATAATAAATGAAGGCGTTATTTTTCTGTTGCGAAACTTAGTCTCTCTAGATTGGCAACAAATCTACAATTCTGCTGTTTCAAATGTAAACAAATATGTCCGCCATGTTATTTAACACTTAACCACACTTAAACAGCTAAATTTTTTTAGCTGTTTTTTAGCAGTTTTTTTAGCTGTAAAAATTCTAAATTTTTGATAATTGTACAAATATTGCTTCCAGAATTACGAAAGGCATAAAAACCTTAACCGGAAGATAAAAACAACATAAATCAATCATTTTTAAAGCAAAAAATGTATAATTTACAAACATATAAGAGTAAAGAAACTGACATCACTGAGCCGGGTAACAGAGTGGATATATTTATATACGTTTGGCGCGGCCGATTGAAACCAAAATACGAGGTGCACATCTACATGTTATAGTAGTCTTATATACAAAATTTCAACGTTCTGAGGCTACTCGTTTTTCAGTTATGCGAGATACGTTCGTACGCACGTACGTACATACGTTCGTACAGGCGCCACGAAAAATTCTCTTCAGAATTCATTTTAAATCAGTTTTTAGTTTTTTTTTTTTTTTTTTTTTTTTTTTTTGAGGAAAAGAGCTTTTTATTCTGTCCTTTCGTACAGATATCGCGCAGAAACATCGTTCAATTGCATTCGAAAGCGGTCAAATTGGATATTTTAGTTGAAATATGCTGCCTGAAGCTTTTCGCGATTACAATACTTCCTTTTTACTTCGTACAATTAAGTAAAAAAAGGAATTTAAATTTTGTGAATCTTCAATCCTTCGTAGAGCGTACTGATTATGGCTTGTAACTAAATATCTAATTGTTCTCTGTTTTTATTCGCATTTGATCTATTAAGGCACTAAATGCTTAAATGCGCACAGAGGGTAATTAAGGGACTTTAAGTTTTATTGTTTCTTCACTGTTTTACTTTCAGAAAGCCTTCGAATTTATGTTATGCAAACAATGTACGGAAAATGTGATAATTTCAGACAAAATTTAATTTAATATTTATAGAGTTTCAATATAATAAAATACTTTCAAATAGAAGTATGACTAATTTTAGAACACATCATGCTATTTCATAAAGGAAAATCCAAAAATCAAAGCAATTGATAATAATAATAACAATATATTAATGATGATTACTATTGCCGTTCTTGTAGCGTCGCTTTGTAACATTTCTTTCTGTCCTTCATTAACACCGTCGAATAGATTTATCATTCAAAACTCACTATATGTAATATCTTGACTATTTTATTATGTATTCATCACTGCATAATAGCATAACCTTTTGATAAGTTCTCACATGAAAATATTGCATCGCTTACCTTTTCATATGCATAAGAGTTCTTCTGAAAACTCAGAATTCCTATTAGTGAAATTAATTTGACAATTAAATTATCTATTGTTCTAATTATTGGATTTAAGTTATTTTTAGAAAAAATGCAAAAAAGATATAAGTAAAATTAATTTCATTTACAGATTGGAACTGTCTTACCTGATAACGTAGTTAATATCACTTCTCCAGGTTCCTCTGAATTCCAGTATATGGAACTAGAGCATTCACACTTCAAAGTAACGACATTCTTGGTAAGTTATAAATAAGGCAAGTGATTTAAGAAAATACATTTCCACTCATTTTTTACTTACGTAATTTCAAAATTAATCTTAAAAGATGTGATTAATAATTTTAAAGTTGAAGCTCAAGACAATTAATTTACTTTTCAAACCTTAATTCTTTTAAGCATCAGAGGTGCTGTTAGTTTTACTGTGTTCGTATCGCTTTTCGTTGCCACCAAATGTTATCGCCATGTATTATTTTTAAAGAAATAATATAGTGAATTAAAAAATATATATGGCAACACAAATAAAAGAATTGCCATTGAACGTTATTTCTAGTTATTATTTTTAAAGAAATAATGTAAAGAATTTTTAAAAAAATGAACGGCAAAACCGAATAAAAGGATATTAGCAAATGTTATTGTAACGTGTTATTTTTAAAGCCATAATATAGCGAATATAAAAAAAATCTTATGTGGACATCACGTGACTTACTTATACGGCCTATTAAATCTTACACATTTAAGTCAGAGTTATTGTCATTATCATTCCTAAGAAGTGATAATTCCTATGACTTAAAAAAAAACTTAAGTTCATTCATTTAACCATAACTTGAGGTTATTAATATCATACTGAACGAAATATTTTATGATATAACAATCTTAGTTAGTTTTACCATAAAAGTAAATTAGTCACTTTGCATGAATAATTTAAACCTATTACTAGTTAACAATGCATGGAAAATAAATTTACTAATCTGTAAGGAATAAGAAACGAATTTAATAAAAACCTTCCTCCTTCCAGTGTCGGACATTTTGCTAACTAAGCATTTGACGAGAGGGCCGAACCCATCAGTTATTTAGCCGTCTCATCATTGTGAACATTATGAAGAGTGCAACATAAAAAGCTATCGATGTTATAAAACCGGGGCAGAAAGGAAATTCTGCCCTAGTTTTGATAGAAAATACCCGGAGGAAAGATCTGAGAAGATTCCACAATTTCCCCCTACGAGCAAACCTCTCGAAAGGACTTTCGGCTCGCCAGTATTTTAGGTACTGGTATGTCGTAGAGACATCTTCACATTTGCAAAAATCCAAGGCTTTCTCGGAATCTGAATCCATGCCTGAACGACAGCCAGCAGCGCTCACCATTATACCGATGAGGGAGCCCCTTAAGAAAACCTGAGCTGGCCTATTGAGTCAAAACTGAGTTGGTCAATTAAATTATAGAACAAACATAGTTTTAATCATATTCTTTTATTTTCTTTACATGCAAACATGGACTGAATTTTGTTAACTATTGTCTGTTTTAATCCCTTGAATTATGTGAGAAAGGTGTTCCATAAAGCCTTATGTAACTTAAATTTTATGTAGGTTAAATTTGTAATTTGTTCAAATGCATGTTCTTAAAAAAATGCAATACTTATTACATACAACTCTCTCTATCAATATATATGTATAACTGTATATATACAATTTACTCCGTATTTTATTTTGTAAATGGGGCATTATCAAATCACATTTACTCTTGTATAAATATTAAAATTAAAAGTATGAAAAGTACGCAATATAGCATAACAAAAAAAAAAAAAAAAAAAAAAAAAAAAAACACTTTTCAAATAAAAATGTGTTTTGTGGCAGTTAATTTGGTTTATTAAACGGAAAGCTTGCTTTAGAATGGGATTACTGGAGAGAGAAATGTTGTTTCTCTGCTACCTTTTTACCTTTCTGGGTGTTGAAATCTGAGAGTAGATGAACTCATCTGTCGCGAGCGGTATCTCACACATATGTCTAGGGTAGATGGTGCAGTAACAGCTCTTGGTCTTTTGGGAACCGCTTGTATCAGGAGCTAGAGCCGGGGCAAAAGGGAGGCATTTGTCTTAGGTGAATAACTCGAATGTGCGCCAAATTAGCTGTGAAAATTTAGAAAATCATTTTTAAGGAAGAAATTACAATTATTACTTTTAAACTTTGAAACTAGGAGTATCAAAAGAATTTTATGTTATAAAAGAATTCAGCTGAATCCAGAAAAGAATGAATATTAAGTCAATTTTTTCTCAAGACTTCTGATGTTTTACGGCACTATATATATATATTATTTTCTAAATTAAATTTTATTGTTGGAACTAATGTATCGAAGATAATTTGCGCTTATTTATACTAACGTATTAGGCTGCATGTTGTCATTATTAGACCATCATGCTGCTGACACCTTAGTAATATTTTAAAATGCTTAGCTGACACCATTAGATCTTATTACTCTTATTCGCCTTAACAATATTTTTGAAGTTCGCCAACTGAATATGGATGACGACGCAACTATTTACAGTTTTTGCAACATACTTGTCACCTTAAAGCTTATTGGAATAGCATCGAGAGGCTAAATAAGAATATTTAAAAATAAAATACGTATCATGTTTTCAATATTTTGGTTCACTTTTTGTGTAAAATGTGTCATAGTATAAGTTCGAGGTTTTTTTTTTCTTGTATTCGCATTTAATTTGCCGGAACTGTACAATTAGTTTCATTTGCGGTTATTTCTGGAGTAGTTACACATACTGCTGGACAGATTAACTGAATAGGCACATTAGTCAGTTTCATTCTCTAAAAAGACTAGAATGTTGGATATAAGGAAATCCAACATATCTAAAAAGAATGGAAATTGAATATAAGGAAAGACAATATTTCTCTCGCTCTCTCTTTTTCGGGTTATTCTACTGTTCATAATGAAACCATAAAATGAATTGTTTAGTATGAGTACCAAAGAAATAAAAAAAAAGATTTATAATTTTAAATTTTTTGTGGAAGATTTAAGACAAAACATTCTGGCTGCTTATGTGGTCTATATTGGTATTAAAGACGATGTTTTAAAATGCTTAGTTTAGTTCCTTTGTTCTAGAGTAACCAGTAGAAAGAATGTAGTTTTGAAAAAATATGTTTATTTCTGAATAAATTTAAAAAACATAGCTTCTGAAAGAATTAAAACCTGAAGTGAACAGTGAACATCAGAAAGCTGTTGATTTAGAGATTAAAAAAACTGCAATGGAAACATCAAAATGAATTAAAGTATAAATCCCACTGCAAACTTGTTTATTGGTGCGAATAGAAATTAATAGAAGCGCCTATAATATTCGCGAAATTTAACACACTGAGGTCCGCAGAATTAACTGATGAAACGGTGTAAAATTAAGAGAAGCATGAAGCGACATAATGCTTACATTGACATTGTAGGGGTACGATGAAAAATTATTACGATGAAAAAGTTATAAATTTTTATCTGATAGACGCTTTATTGGTCATTTATAAAATGGAATTAACTGGCATATGATATTCTTATTAAGTTAAATTAAGTTTATCATACAATACAAATTCATAATTTGATAAAAGATACGCTGCTTTAAAGGCTATTTCTTTAATCAGTTGATTACAATAAAACATCAGGCTATTTTCCTTAGGTGGGATGCTTTCGTGAAGAATATACCAAAGGAATTCTCTCATATTCGAGTTACACATGGAGAAAGTTCGAAAGATGTACGCAGCCAACCCGTTAGCCATGACCCGTACCAGAACTAGCTGTCAATGTTGTCCGCTGGGACACTTGCGAGCTTGAATTTTAGCGAAAACGTCCCGAGCAGTTCCAAAACCGAATGAGGATTACAAATATTACATCTTAAAACACGACGGATCACTATATTGAAATCTAAATATTGGTAATTTTTTTAAAGAAAAATCTCCAAACCATTAGATTCGTCACTGTCGATGTGACAACAGAATTTTTGCAGGCAACACTGATCTTTCGATCTTATCCATATTTTTAGAAGCACTTCTGCGGAGAACACAATAAATGTATACAGGTAGATTCAAAATTTTCGGCGTCATATATTGCTAAAAGAAATATATAAAATTTTTAACAGGTTATTTTTTAATGTTATCTCCCTGTACTTTGATACAGTTTTCTTGCATGTTCGATACAGTTTCAGTTAACGAGCAGCGCTTTGCTCCTCTAAAACTAATATCGAGGTTTTTATTAGTATATAAAGGAACTAATAGGAATCTTGTCCTCAAAACGTTCCATAACTGTTCTTTTCACGTCCTCATCGTCAATAAATCTCTTTCCAGGTCATATTTTCACTAAGAGAATAGCTACTAATCACTTGAAGCTAAACCTGGGCTGTAAGGGGAAGTCAAGCTCCTTAAACCCACAATGCTTTTGAACAGCACTAACGCGTCGCTGAAAGAAGTTGAACAGCACTATCGTTGTTGCTGAAAGAATTTGAATAGCATTACGCGTGTTGAACAGTATTGAATTGCTGAAAGAAGTCAGGCTTACATCTGCCCATGATAAGACTTTGCTGATATGAAATATTAATGTGGAATGCGCAAAACGGTTTTAGATAGATTCAATGTTGCTGCTGTTTCAGTGACTTTTAATCTCCTGTAACTAATATTTCATTCCAGACACGCGCAACACTTTCTGATGACAATGCTACCAATTATCGATCTTCACAAAAGTCATCTTCTGCGGATTCTCGACAAATGCGAAATTGTTTTATCCATTCTCTCGCCGTAGAATAGGAAGGAGACGAATCATGTACACCATACACATTATCCAAACGTTGTTTAGTTTTTTTTTCTAATTAAAAATTGTATCACTGAACAATACACAATTTTAAACAAATCTACCTTTTTTTTCTCCAAGTTGGCTAGAACGTATATGGCGGCGCGCATTTACCTCTTTGCTTCAATTAAAAAAATATGTAGGAACGCCTCTATTAGGAGCAAACAATTTTTACTTGGCTATCGCCATATTTAGTAAGTTAAAAGCTTCAGCTAACACGTTTGTTATAGATTTATTTTGTGATTTTGAATCATTTTGAAAGTAAATAAACAACGAAAAATAGTAGTGAAAAACGACTGACTAAACTGAGAGCGAACTGTTTACCGAATCCTCATTTCTAGCTAGTCGATTTCAGTTAATGTCCTCCATCCTAATTAGACCATCCTCATTAGAGTTAAGATCAAGCATATGCAGAAGCAGTTTTATTGTTACACCGCAGTTTGGGGGGGGGGTGTCAAGAATTTTCTGAGATTTTTGGCTTTTGATAAAGAGTTCACAGAAATTTACGAATAGATTATTAATTTAATTAATCATCTTATCTAATTTTTCATCACATTCAGGAATTAGAAACCTATGATTATTACTATAATTCGATTACATATGTTTTATAACGAGTTCTCATAATGCACTTTGCATAAAGTGTGTATCATTTATGCAACTACAGCATGACTTAGAAGCAATCTGATTTCCGAATAAGTCTGATTAATTTGTCGAAATATTATTTAATGCGTTTCTAAGAATACTTTCACCGTATGCCAGTTTCCATAGTTTTAGAATCCATACCATCTTAATAGGACTTTTTAAATTTTTACAATAAACGTGATTTTAATACTATATTCTAAATTTCGAGCAAGCATTTTTATGCTGAAGTATACACACACAGATTTATATTACCATCGCAACAAATATCACCTCGTCTTATCAGCCTGGAATGTGTGCACTCGTTATATCAGACACGGTCAGTTACCAATACTCAAATGAATGATTATATTGCATACTGGAAAACACAATGCGGCCACTAAAATTATCATAATTTGTAATAACATAACATTAAATTCCACGTTAAAATCTCAGCGTGTATATTCATTTAAGTTATCTATAAGAAGTTTTGAGGTATTTCCTCACAACGTCTTGTTCTAAATAAATATTTCATTAGGATTTTCCTTATCTTACTTTACATAATTTAATGAGGATATTTCTGTTTTAATTTTTGCTTGATTTTGAGGTCATTACGGTGTTTGTTTAATTTAGTCTACTAATGAAAGGAAATATCTCCTTGACGTTTTATCTTATGAGGCATGTTATAAAATTTTTCATACATTTTTACTGTAAGATTCCACGTGACCGATCTGTGCGTGTCTGATGTCTAAATAGGAATCATGAATCAACGACAATCCGTCGAAGACATTTAATTGCAAAACCTTTTGTTGCACACTTCTTTATGCATCCTCACGTAAGATTAACAATAATTTATTCTTATTTTATTGCTTAGAGTGATCCTTATGCAATGCTTCGGGAATCATCAAAGAAGATGACAGGCAACGACCGTTTTGAGGGCTATGGAATGGATCTATTAAAAGCCTTGTCCGAAAAATTGCATTTCACGTATGAGATTCATCCTGTCAAGGATAAAAAACACGGAAAGTACGACAAAGCGACCAAGACAGCGAATGGCATGATCGGAGAGATCATGCGAGGGGTATGTTTAAGTGTGAAATTAATTTCAGATAAACGCATCATCATACATTAATGACTTTAACTATTAATGCAGGTGATTTACATTTTTGGCTCACAAAGTCAGAATCTAATGACATGTTTTAATTTCTGCAGAGGAGAACTCTTCAGTATTTTAAAAGCTGATAATAAATTTCTGTGCTAATTAAGGAAAGAGGAATTCCTATCCTGAAAATTTTTTCAGACAACGTTTTGAACTAAAGGAAATTGATGCTAGAAAAGTCAACGGCTTAATATTTCAGACTTTTTGTATCATATTACTTACGTTGTGCTTTCATGTCATTTCTCAGTCACACAGAATGGGAATCTTGAGATTTTTAAAACTGTTTCTAATCTTTAATTATGTGAACTTTCAAACTATCAATTCAGAAAGTTGTTGCCAGTTTATCTCGCGAGACATTTTGTCTTGCGGATTAGCTACCTACCAGCTTTTAAAATCTGTTGTGTATCTTTTCTGAATAAAAATTCAGAAAAAATTTCCAAAATTTCTTGAAGTAATAATCAATCATGTTGACGCTAGAAATGCTTATACTCTAATCTTCTTACATCTGAAATCACGTTATGTTAATTCACGTTACGTTGTTGCTAGCACTAAAACGTAGCATACGAAAAAGCTCTAAAAGGAGCTATATTGAATACAAATTTTATTTTAACGTTTAAATCATGAAAATACAAAGCAATTAAAAAAAACACCCGATTTAAAGTTTTTAAGGTCCTTAAAACTAATAAAATGAACGCTAAATATAGAATAAATAGAAAAAAATGACTATCTTTTAGATTAAATAATAGAGGAAGATAGTTTATAACTTTAAATGTTCCTTTAAAAAATGGAAATAGCTTCTGAAGAGCAAAGATCTTTTTTCATATTCTTGTTTCCATGCCCTGAGACGGATGTATTGCCCTCAGCCCAAAAGCAGAGAGCCTGATTATTTGATTTCAAAGTTTGGCTTCTTAGACCTAAAGACCATTTACTTCGAAGGTATGTGGTAAGATGAGGTTTTTTGTACCATCTACGCTCACAAAAGTAAATGATGTTAAAAATTAATTTCTTTAGAAAATTTTATGATTGACCCATTGGAACGTTTTTGGCAAAACTTTACATACCAGTTTGATTACCTCTGTAACAAAAGGAAATTATATCGAACATTTGTAAATAAAACGTAAGCTAGTTTTCTTTCGGAATCATATATTACTAATCATCTTAAATTGCAAAATTATTAAAATTATAAAAATTTTCAAACTGGATGATAGTTTCTGAATTACATTACTTAAGATTAAAACAAGATTAACAACTTTAAAATTTTAAATTTAAAATACATATTTTTATATTGATCGCTTACAATTTAAATTAAAAATTAAATATTTATTAATTAGATACTTTAAGTGAATCTTTGCAATTATTAGCGAAGTCTTTTATAATTAATAACTTATATTATACCTAACTTTTATAATTTTATAGAGTATATTCAGTTATATTGTTGTAAGATAACGTTATATTCAGTTATATTGTTATAAGATTATTAACGATTAATAAGATTCTTTTATTTCATGGGATCAAATTTTATAGAAAGTATTTTCGACAATTTTCGACAAGTGGTAATGAAATGTAATTGCAAATAAAAAGTGGTAATGAAATAATGTTTAATAATACATTAATAAATCAAATAATCTAATCGTTATACTTAAAGCGGTAATGTAATATAATCATTTAATGCAAATATGTATCTAAACCTGAGTTAAATGAGAGCAACTTGTGTACTAGCGCGTTGCAATACTGCATGTTATAAATTTTATAGAAAACATGCTGAGAAATCGTGATATCATTTCCAAAACAGATGCGTAGTAAAAGGCTGAAAAGAAAATGACATTTTTAATGTCATTGAATAAATTCAATATAATCTTATTTTTCCTAATAGAAAGTATTAGTACCATATAAGTACATATGAGAAGCTGTAACTTGGATCGAACTGTATTACCATTTGACGAACGTTTACGAGAATCAACAACTTGGCTTCGAAATGGAATAAAAATATGTGTAAAGGTAGAGCTAATTAGAACAATATTATAATAAGATTCTATTAAGGTTTTTAAAGAAGAAGGAATTCGAAAAATTATAGAAAGTTTCCATATATAAAAATCGAAACACTTTGACAACATATTCCACATAGATCAATGGTTAGGCTATCAGTCAGATATCAGAAGTTAGATCAGTGTTTAAAGCATCAGATAAAAAAGATAATTAGCTTCGTTTAATAGTGCTGAAATCATTTATCCGAATTAATGCTAAACGAATAGTATACAAAATCAAACTTAAGGAAGAATTAAGAAAGCGTTTTCGCCGTAAAATTCTCTGCGCCAGAAAAAAGTCAACGACTAGAGAAAAGAGTTTATATGTAAGATAAAATAAGGCAGCAAGTTTCTCATAGCATAAGAATTAAAAAAAAGATTGAAGTAATTCTTTGCTCAGATATGCAGTTGAAATCCACTAAAGATGAGAAAGGGAGAAATAAATTGAAATCACGAATGAGATTTTGAGTTTTTTAATAACACTGACCCAAATAATTGTCTGATCGAAAACACTAATCTATTTATTCTCCTTTTTAGCACCAGAGGTGCTGTTGGTCTCCATTCTCACACGATTTTCTTATCCGTATCACTTTTCAAATAAAATGGGGTTTCTAGAGTATTGATCTAATGGAATGTCATCGCCATGTATTATTTTTAAGCGGATATGAAAAACGTATGGCAATACTTAACACTCCATTGGGAATTCTAAAGATATGCTATTTTTAAATATTTTATAATTTTTCTGTTGATTTTTATGCTGCTTAAGTGCGAAGAAAATTATATTTAATAAATTTTAAGTTAAAAAGAAAAACTTATTAGTGAAAAGACAACGAAAAGTTGTACAAGCCATATTCCTAAGATAACTGGACATTGATAAAATTAATTCAGAAAGGACTGGAAAAATTAATGACAACATTAATTTTTCACTTTATACATTTTAATACTGTATTGTATAATACAAGACATTTTAACACTGTATTGGATTTTTTATATATAATACGCTTTTGAAAGTTTCCTGACATTGATGCTGAATTTTATGTGACTTAAGTGCAAAGAAAATGATTTTTAAAGAGGCAGAAAAAGTTCTGTAGGTCCTGCTATTTAAAAAATAACTGAACACTGATACGGTGAACTAAAACAAAGTGGAGAGAAAATAATAAAAATTAATAAAAAAATCTGAGAGATTTCTAATTATAACGATTATTTTTCTAATTTTAATTTATTCCTAAAAGGGCTCTTTTGAAGTTTAATGTAGCTTATCAGTATATATTACTGATAAATATGACCCAGGTGGAATAGAAAAGCACTTGATGATATATTAGATGAATAATGCATTAAGACTATCATGGGAACGTTATATACTTCCTGTGCATTTAAAAAGTGAATAAAATACGAAATATAATTCTATAAAAATATTGAATGTTTATAATTAAATATATCATGAATTAAATGCATTTTTATTTAAACCAATCAGATTAAAAAGTAAGAAAAATATTTCTAAGAGCTGGATCTATTCTTTTAAATTGTTTGTTAATTAATAAGATATAGATTAAATTTGAAAGAATAATATCTTTCGTTTTGACGAATATCAACAGACTAGAATGAAAAGTGAAACAACGCAAAATCCTGCTTCGAGATTATTAGCCCTCTGAGGCAAAAAATGTTTCCAATCACCTAACACCCTATCGGGAACGCTGTAAATATGCTTTTCTTAAAAATTTATAATTTTGCCATTGAACTTTAAGTGGTATAAAAGCAAAGAAAGCTTTATTTAATAACAATGTTAAAAGTACAAAAAAAGTCCAGGGTAGATTGGTGAGAGATAAACTGTAGGCCAGATAACTGGTGAAAGAAAAACTGAGAAATCAGCGAGAGCACAAAAAACTTTAAGAAATCCTGTGGTGCGAGGTTAAAATTTGAATCCTTTCGGATTTCCTTTTTCCTTCTGTAAATGTTTTTCATAGAATAAAAGGCATTACACTTTCATAAAGATGCAAACTCCAAGAGCACAACAGACTTCAGTTAAGCTTGGCTCATGCTGCAGAGCTGATTGTGCCATCAAGATGTCTGAAAGGTCTTTATGTCTCTACCTTTGCTTATAATCAATCTAATCTAAAAGGAGCTTTTATTTTATTAAACTTAACATTTTACTGATTATTTGCACTGTTTCTATTCTATAATATAACTTTTATTTTTAAAATATAAATACTTTGAGAGTGTATAAAATAAAAAATGTAGGTTCATTCTTGCTCTTTTATCGCTTTTCTTTTTCAGGAAGCGCATTTAGCTATTGCTGATTTGACCATCACTGAATCTCGATTGGAGGCCGTGGACTTCACGCTGCCATTCATGCAGACTGGAATCAGCATTTTATTCAAGAAACCAACTCAAAAAGTGACTTCATTATTCTCTTTCTTGTCCCCTTTCTCCGGAGAGGTATGGCTGCTCGTGATGGCCGCATACACTTTCATCAGTCTCAGTTATTTCCTTGTAGGCAGGCTGAGTCCTTACGAGTGGTCCAACCCTCATCCTTGTCGACAAACTGACCTAGTCGAAGAGAATGTGTTCAGTTTATTAAATAGTATGTGGTTCGCCATCGGTTCACTTATGCAGCAAGGCTCGGATATTGCACCAACGTGAGAATCTTTACCACATTATGAAATCGTTATTCACATTTTATGAAATATCATTTATTAACAAATTATATTGATTTATTAATGATTATTTAAATTATATTGATTTATAACGTGTTTTTCATTCCATTCAGAAGGAATATTTAGAATAAGAAAATTCGTACAAAGTTTACAGTCATTCACTTTCTTACATTTAATATGTAATATTTTGTTAATCATTTTTACTTCCTTGTACGAAGTAAAAAGGAAGTATTGTAATCGCTAAAAGTTTCAGGCAGCATATTTCAACGAAAATATCCATTTTGACTGCTTTCGAATGCAATTTAACGATGTTTTTGCGTGATATCTGTACGTTAAGACAGAATAAAAGACTCTTCCTCCAAAAAAATTAGAAAACTGCTTTAAAATGAATTCTGAAGAGAATGTTTCGTGGCGTCTGTACGAACGTACGTACGTATCTTGCAAAACCGAGTAGCCTCAGAACGTTGAAATTTTGTATATAGGACTACTATAACATGTAGATGTGCACCTCGTATTTTGGTTGCAATCGGCCCCACCAAACGTATATAAATATATTTATATATATATCCACTCTGTTACCCGGCTCAGTCATCTCAGTTTCTTTAGTCTTATATGTTTGTAAATTGTACATTTTTTTGCTTTAAAAATGATTGAATTATGTTGTTCTTATATGTATTTTGAAGGGGTGCTATAGATAGTGGTGGGCGTGGTGCTATACTAATTAACCGTTTGATAAAGGGATAGTGCCCACGTCCTCCGTTCTCTCTCCCTCTCTTCCGGTTAAGGATTTTATGCCTTTAGTAAATCTGTATGCAATATTTTTAGAATTATAAACAATTTAAAAACTGTTTAAGTGCGGTTAAGCCTAATATTTAAATAATATGGCGGACATGTTTGTTTACATTTGAAGCAGCAGAATAGCAGATTTGTTGCCATCTAGAGAAACGTAGCTTCGCAACAACAAAGATAACGCCTTCATTTCTTATTGCGAATTAAATCATGCTTAATCCTTTTTGGAATGTTTTCGAGGAAATAAGTGTTTAAGATTTACTTCGGAATTTTTAATACAAAATATTTTGGGTTTTTATGTATTTTTGCCTTGTCGTGAAGTGAGAACTGAATTAATTGAATCAGAAATACTCAATCGTCTGTGATAAACCGTTTCCTTTTTGTTTTGTTTGCTTAATTTCTTTTATACATCGTTTTAGCTTTATTATAGTATTTGAATAGAACATGTGGCAACGATTAGATAATTCTTTAAATGATATAAATGTTGTGCATTCTGAGTTATTATATGAACGAAATATAATACTGTTAAGTGAACCTAGCGCCAGAGTGTCGCTATTCTCAAGAAATAGAGTGAATTTTAAAGAATGCATTTATTTTATTGTGGTTTATGCGCTGTCAGCGAAGTAGATTTATTTCAATCCAATAAGTTTAAACGAAATGCAAGAAAAAATGCGTATAATTTAATATTCCGTTCAAGGAAGTCATGTGGTGTACACGTCATATTTTTTATTATAAATATTCTTAAACTATGCATGCATGCATGAAACGTTTTTGGCAATATGCTATAAATATTTTGTTTATAATCTTATATTCTTCCTTTTGAAACACTGTTATGTTAACGAAATAAAATAATTTCAGTTGACATAACAATATGCTTCAACTACACTTAATTTTATTACTGTTTGTGGTACTTACGTATTAACCCATTGACCGTGAAAACGCCAGTCGCTGATGCCAATGCTGATGCTATATTCATAACATCTGCGCTTTCTTTTGATATAATTCCTGTTGATTCTGAATAAACAATAATTTGAAACAATAATTAAAATCTGGGACCTGCCTTTTACAGATTAGCAAGCAGTGTATTATTTTTAAAGGTATGAGATCCTACCATCAGAAAAAGTATGTATTAATAACGGTGGCAAGTTAAGCTGAATATGAACAGAAAAATAGTAATAGATTGTATCAATTAAAGGAAATTTTATTCTCATAGCATTCAAAAGAGAGCTTTTGGTAAAACTAGAAGGCCTAACAAAATAATAGAAATCGACGTAAGCCTTTTTACGAAGTGCAAAAACAAAACAGGTCAAATACTGTTTGTTTATTAAATAAACATGAGTCAGTTCCTTCAGAATTTTGCGGGAACAATTGTAGCAGTTTTTGAGGGATCTCGGCATTTTTCATAGATCGATGGTAGCCAACTTACGCGTTAGACGCTATAATACGTAAGTACCCTAGATGCTAACAGAATTTAATTCAGTAAATCTTTTAACGAATTTAAGTTTAATGAAATAAATTTTCCTTTTTTAATTAGGGCTATGTCAACTAGAGCAATAACCAGTTTTTGGTATTTTTTCTGTTTGATTATGATTTCTTCTTACACCGCCAACTTGGCTGCTTTCCTCACTGTAGAGAAATTAGTATCGCCAATAGAAAATGTCGAAGATTTGGCTAATCAAGAGAAAATAAAATACGGTTGCCTTGCTAATGGATCTACCTCCGGTTTTTTCAAGGTAAGTTCACTTTAAGTGAATTTAAATGCAATATAGGTTTATTTTTTATTTGTTATTCATAAAATATATGTATGTTGACCTTTGCTAAAATGCGTTCCTTGAGTTCGTGCAATTGTCAGTGACGATTTGCCGAATGCGTGAGATTTGAAAAACACTAGTAATTTGCTAGTGCTCAGTTTCCGGTCATAGGCTCAATCTTTAAGGTTTGGATGAGAGATCTGTTTTAGAATTAGGGTGCTGTGGAAAGGGTGTAATACCTTTCCCAAAAAATTACAATGAACATTTTGGAATGAATAGGTTTGTTTATTTAGATTATAATAGAGTATACTAGGGTGAACGTTTCAAGAAAAATTGATTTATATTCATGTTATATAAAGAAAACCACTAAACCTTCCCCACAGCAGTTTATTCGCCAGTCGTTAAATACTGGTAGTTCGACTCGATTTAAAGTCAGGGAGCACTACCAGTGTTCAACGATTGCACCGCTCTGTCGCTAGTGGACCCACTTTTTCTATCAGATAAACTAGCAAATGCTGTGTCCCTAAACATTACATATTTTTTCAATTAGCAGCTACCTTTCACCAGTAGTTCCAAGATACTGATCCGCTACAGAAAAATTATTTTTGTATATTTACCTTTATTCAGCATATTCGAGAGGATAATATGTTTAGAATCTATTATCTTTTGATCACCGTAGACGACTGTTATGCATTAAACTTTAATCTTGAAGGACGAATGGGACGATATCGTCTTTTTTAGGCGAACTTCAGTTCTGCCTACTACACCACAATGGTCGACTTCGAGTTTGGCGGTACCGCAGTAGCAGGCAGGTACACGAAGAAACAAGGTCGGCCTCTGTGCTGTCCCGACGATACATTAAGTAACGCCTGGCCTTGCTAGCTGCTCGAGAAACAACATCCAAAGGACCAACGAGAGCCTCTCTCCAGCTGGCAACCCCCCGGGAACGGCACAGCTCCACGCTCAATCGCACAGCCAACTAAAAGCGGTCCACAGGAAGCTTCCGTCCGGGGGTCTGGTACTTGTCATGATCGCGAAACTTTATTAACAATTTGACAAATTTACAGTGCACTTCACTGACACTTTACTGTATAGAGTAATATTACATACATACGTTTACGCTTCAGAAGAGAACTGCTGACCCTACCGGCTATAAAATTTGCCTTACAGCATTATTGACCTCCTTGTCTAATACTGCTGCGCCCCTACGCAGGAGGGCCGGCAGAGCAGACTGCTACAAACACATGATGAAAAAAAGAAATTCACAAGGCTATTTACAGCGATGCATAAGTTTTCACAAGCTACACAGTCTTGTGCTAATCACCGACTAAGTGAGATCACTGATGGTTCTGTGTTCAAATAGAGATTACATTTAGGGCTTAACAAGCACAGTTACAGTATTACAATCTAAGATACATGAGATTGAATTAAAGATACATGACTTAACATTTAGAATACTTATCATATACTATTCCACTTTTGGGCTAACTTCACAAAACACTATTGAACAATGCATTGAAGGTGCTATGTTAGTAATATTACTTATTCTATTGAATGAAGCAATTATGATAATAGAATTGAATAAGGTAATAATTATAGTACTTAAAGCGAAGACAGAATTCCGTTGTAACAACAAGCAGCAAAACGAAACAAGGGTTATACATAGAATGTATATAAATGCAATTACAATTGAATACACACGCGAAAGAAACATGTATGCAGGTACTATTGAAGGAGGTAGTTATGCTACTATGACACTTTGTGTAATGAGGCTTACTGTTGTACTTCTGCTTTGCAGAGTGTCATTACATAGTCTTATAAATCATAGATATTTATGATGTTCTGAGAAAAGGGTGTGCATAGCTACTTGGTTAATTTTTGATCGAGCAAGATGCCAAGTGCTAGGTTGCCCTATTATGCTCACTTACAGCTGAGGTTTTGGTTGCTCGGTACATAATTTCCGTCTATTGGGGGCCAAAATTATTGACTTTTTTCTTTTGGTGAAGTTGAGCACTGTCGAGGCAAGAGAAGAGATAGTAATCAGGGTCACCCACTTCTCCACAGCCAGAGGTAACTGTTTCACTTAGGTCTAAGCAATGTAGATACAATTCAAAAGGGCCATGGCCTGTGAAGTTATGGTTTAATTCACTAATATTGACTCGGAATGCTTCCCCCACTTTGGAAAAAAACTCATATGTTCGTCTGCCCGTTGTTGCTGTTTCTCACCTCTGTTCCCACTGTGCAATGACTTGTTGATGTGTGACTTTTTAAGTTGGGAGATTGGAAGTTTCACTGGATGTTCAAGTAGACCCGCATCATTTGCTGCCGGCTTCGCTGCCCTGTCTGCTTGTTCATTGCATTGGATCCGAATGTGTGCCGGGACCCAATGAAGACTGGCAACTTCTGTAGAAGCAGACGGCGAATTTCCTGCACTTGTGGACTCCGACTTTTATGTCCTTTTATGGCTTCCAGGCTGGAGACAGTCACTAAAAATGGCTATTTTTCTGTCTGAATTATTCCACCGATTGCAATGTTCCTTAGAACGCAGGGCCTCCTCGCCAGTTGAGTTGTCTGAATTATTTCTCATATATACTTAAGCTGTCTTTATAGTACGTCTAATTCAGCCTGGTATATTGAAGTTGGATTCGTTCTGTCGTCTTCTCCATTCATATAAGATCACTCTATCCTCTATAGCACAGAAGGCACTTCCTGTACCTTTTGAGATCTTGGATCCATCTTTGTAGAGTGAGAGTGCCGCCCTACGTGAAGCCAAGTAATTAAGAAAGATATCAGATCAATGTCCGCAGGGTGACCCAATAACTCCGGCCTGTGTTTTCCTAAGCTCTAGCAAAGTAGATTTTTTTGCCAAAGTGTACCATCCTCTTCAAGGCGTCGCACGTGTCATGCACTTGAATGAGATCAGACTCATCATATCCCATTGCTCTGGGAAAGGATCATCCTCTTCAAGGCGGTGCACTTTCGAATTTAATGCCACTCTTTCTGCAATGTAGGTCTAGCGGCGGGAGTCCTGCTAGAACCTGGAGTGCCGTGGTTGGCGTAGTTCTATATCCCTTGCAGATCAATAGCAGCTGCATTCTTTGCATGTTTAGAAATACTTCATACTTGGACTCATCTTTTTGCCCTATACTGCGACTCCATACAGGATAATCCTCTCAGTAATAGTTTTGTGCCATGAATTCGGGGTGGTATGCTCCAATGTACTCCCGTTATGCGGAGCATGGAGTTAGTTAATCGTGCACAACGTTGCTTCAACTCCTGGAGGTGAGGCATCCATGAAAGATTGTTAGTGAGTGTGAAACCTAAATACTTTAAAGATGAAACACAGTGTAATGGGACTCCATTGAAATTGACTGTGGGGTTTCTTTGTGGGATACCTTTACGCAATATGAAAAGTAGTTTGGTCTTCGTCTGAGAGATTTCCAGTTTATGCTCTTTGGCCCATTCCATGAAGTAATCAATTGCATTTTGAGCTTTGCTCTCTATGTCTGTTCTTCCTGTCACCTCTAGCAGAAAGTCATCTGCAAACGCTGGAGCTTGACTTGACACCGTCTTTGTAAACATTAGAAGGCTGTATTTGACACTAGGTCCAATAAAGTAGGCCCCAGACATGAGCCTTGAAGACACCTCCTTTGAAGATCTAGCTTAGTAACTCCTCCGTCCATTGTAATCGGTACGGTACTTGTCTTCCATCCAGATAACTTCTCATAAGTATTATGATTTCTTGTGAGCAATTAATTGCATTCATGCATTCGATCACGTCAGGCCACCACAACATGTCGAACGCCCCTTTGATAACTATAGAGATAATTTAAGCGTGGAGGCCTTCTTCTCTATTTGTCTGTATACTGTTAATGAGGTTATTGACCACGTGTTCTGTAGAGATCCCCTTCTTGATTCCAAACTGTAATTCGCTGATAATGCTGTTTCTTCTAAGATAGCAATTTAGACGATTCAGGAGAACCTTCTCTATGATTTTTCTTAGGGTAGGCAGGAGGCTGACCGGTCTCTAGGATTATGGGTCTGCTGGGTCCTTTCCTACTTTAAGACATAGAGCCACCTTCGCAGTTTTCATTTGATCAGGGAAAGTACCCACTCTCCAGCAGGCTTGACATAATGTGAGTAAGAGCTCTGGGAATTCTGACTGTAGCACTTTCAGCATTGCATTGTTAATGCCTAATGCCGTCTGTACCTGCAGCTTTGTAAGTACAGATATTGTTTGTAATTCTATTTAGTTCCGACTGTGTTGGTGGTACCTTGTTTCTCTTACTGCTGCTCCAGCTACGGAATTTCTGTCTTATTCTGTTCTGTGCATCTGAGTTCCCTGACTCTTCATCTTTTTTAAATATCGTGGTTAGAATTCTTTCTAGAACCTTCCTGCTTTTCCAATAGGTGGGGTGCGATGTGGCACTAAGTTGCAAGGGATTAAAGAACTTGTCAGTAGCTATTCTTTGCGTTGGACCGTAGATTTCAATGAGGTTGCTACAGTGTTTTTTTCCAGGATTCATTCTTAGCCGTTATAATAGCTTTCTTGTACACTGCCTTTTCTTTTTCTTAAATAAGCATCTTTTTAAACCTTTGTACTGCGTCAGTTTCTTTCTGGGCTTTCCGACGGAGCGCCCTGACCTTGCTTCTCATGGCCGTGAGTGCAGTGCTCCACCAGGAAACTGAAGCTCTTTTGACATACCTTTTCACTTTATAGGCTATTTTTCCTGCTGTCGTGAGCGTTTATGTAAGATTGACATAGGCAGTATCAATTGCTTCCTTTGTATTACTCTCCTTCAACTCCGCTACGAGCCCCTGAACCAACATTTGTCAGTCTTACAATGCATTATATTGACATTACATACTACACATTGGTTATTACCTTTCATTGGCATTATGTATTATAGTATTAAATAACATTTGGTATAATATATGTAATTTGTTATAATAGCCGCTAGCAGGTTGACACAGGTTGAATCCAATCAAGGTCATCTTAATCGGAGAAGACCGAAGCTAACATTTTGTGATGTCACAACAAAGGGTGGTCAGCCAAGACGATCTTGCGTCAGCGTGCTTTTTCCCGGGAGTATATGAGAAACAAATATATTTTTCTCTTCCTATAAGCAATATTAACAAAAAATACTTAACAGTTCGTTTAATAGCATTAAACACAGCAAAATCAAACAGTTCTACACCAATTAAAATGAATATTATACCAAAGTTTAAACCGCAGTGTGACTGGCATTTAAAATGAAATCAAAACTAAATATTTTCACTTATTTCTAAGCAATACAAGAAACTATGCTTTTAGTCTCTTATATAAAAACATTACCCAGAAATTTGAAAGCTGCAAATATTCATATTTCACGTTTAAAAAGGATTGACATTCCAGAGAAAGTTTTGCTTCTCAGATAAGATTCATCTTTATTGTATGGTTATCCACACATAGAGCAAGAGATAAGTATAGAGTAATCTAATTTACTTATGAATTTACTAAGATGGAATGAAAAGATGAGAAAAAATGACATGAACATTGTAGACATAATGTTCATTTCATCTTTCGTCATCTTTTCATTCCGTCTTAGTAAATTCATAAATAGATTAGATTAATTAACATATAACATATCCCACATTATTTACATTTGATTGTTTAGATCAGATAACTTTAAGATAAAAATATGTTACTTTTAAATTAATCTGAGAACACAGCAATATAAATGCATTTCGTTTCTTTGTTATTTGATTTGCAAATAGATTTTGCCATTATTTTATACGTAAATTAATAATATACAATACATATTATTATAATTTCTTCGTCATTCACAAATGAATGCAGAAACTTTCTCTCTCTCTCACACACAGTCATATATATGTATATATTCCAAAATAGTAAATATACGTATATTATTAAACAAATTAAAATCCAATATACTTATTACTTCATACTGCACATAAAAATGGGCTTGAATTTGCTTTTAAATCCAAACTGATTTTAATTTATTGTCTGGTTTATTATGAATATGGACATTATAAGAGATAGACTAACCCAGTGGGCGGGGCGCGCGTTACCGACATGTCGGCAAAGAAAGAGTAGGGACGATCTGGTTTACTTTAACACTGAAACCTATGGCGTTTGTATCACATAACTCTTTTTAATTATTAAATGTGATACGTTGTATAGTGATTAGATTATGAAAGCCACCGTTTTTTCCAAATAGGATTTAATATATCTCATTAAAGCACTTTTTACTGCATTTTGCGCATTTTTTTCATGCGTAATTCTTGTACAAACATCTTTACTTTGGCAAAACGGAAACTCTAAGCACAAAATTTATGAACTTAATTTTGCGTAAAAAAAGTAAATTTAAATAAGATTGATAGAATGTGATGCTTTGAAATTAATAAGGTAAAATTAAACAAGATCTGATAATTTTTAAAAAAATTTAATGACCATTTTCAGGCAGTGATTTTCAAAACTATAATAACATTACAAAACAATCATTTATTTGATTATATCATCATTAACTTAAAGTGGAATATTTATTTTAGTAATTTATAAAATTCGGAACACAAAATTTTCTGAATGTAATGAAGGGCAAAAAAAAGATAAGATAAAATCTAGAAGCACTCAGGTTTTATATTACGCCCAAAAGGAAACTTTTTTTTTTTTTTTTTTTTACCTATATTTATTGAATATTATGTTCTTCGCCCATAAACCACATACATTTGAAAACAGCATATCTTTAGAATTTCCGCACTGGAGATAAAACTGTTATTTTCCGTACAGTGCTCGCTCTGAAATGGTTGAGTTTGTTAATCAAACATTCGTTAAAGTTTTACAAAATATGAAATAGATTAAAACAAATTCGACATTCGGCCGTCCAGATGCCCATGTTCGGGTGGGGGATTACATTATTCAAAATTTGATGGCTCTAGGTACTGCCGTTTTGTCACAGTGCGAGAAACATACATGTATTCATGCAGATTCTTCATTATTTAATTTATTTAAATATAATACAGGGCTATAATATTTAATAACAACAATTTGCAAGGAGACACGGACATTTATAGTAAAACAGCGCAAAATGCCGCTTCGAAACTAACAGCTTTTCTAGGCTACCGCCCATTTGAGCTAATAAATTAAATTAACAGTAAATAAAAAAAAAAAAAACTTATGCAGAAGTAAAAGTAAATTTAAAAAAATAATCACTATAAAATACAAGCAAAATTAATTATTACGGTTAAATAAAATTTTAATATTAGAATTAAATGTATAAAAATTTTTAAGAAGTCAAAAGTGTTTATCACTATGATGTATTATGAAATATAATTAAAATAAAATTCCTCTATAGAAATTGTGCTATAATACTATATAATTTTAAAAAGCAGCAGCACAATTTAGAAATTTTAAACAAAACTTTCAAAAATTCGTTTTTAAATATTTTAGTATTTTTTACTTATTTACACGAATAAAAGCATAAAAATTGCAAGAGCAAACTGCTTGTTTGAAGTTTTCTATTAGTTCAGATTTAAAATATTATTTCCTAAAAGAAGTAGTTACAAATTTCCTTACAGCATAGGAAAAGGTAAAAAAATATCCAGCCCTGAAAGCATGCAATAGCTTTATAATTATTTGGAACTTTAATTATGCTTGATAAATATACTAAATTTTTAAAAATCAATCTCAATTTCAAAAATAAAAATATGTAGAAATTCTAGTTTGTGAAATGAGGCGCTACAACTAGCTTTTCCTTGACAACTATACACGCTGCAATAGGCAACCACTGTTAAATTTCTGCAAGTCGTCCCTATTCCTACGGATGTGATCAAGGTGACAGCCGGGAACGCCTCAGACGAGGGAGAAAACCCATTTGGGTTAGTCTATTTCTTATTAGGACCATGATTATGAAACGGTGACGTAATCGTTTTGCAATCTATCAATCCTTCGTAATCAATTTCGCAATCCTTCGTAAGCTATATGTAATCTTTATGATTTTTGAATGAAAATAAAAATGTAAGGGAGCATAAAAAATTAATTTTGCGTCCTCAGTATTGCATATTCATTTCTTCTGCATAATTTAAATTAATTATTTTTCTCTTACAGAATTCCAACATGAGCACCTATAAAAAAATGCACAAATTCATGATGAAACACGCAAGTGAAGTATTTGTTTCAGACAATACTGAAGGGATTAATAAAGTCAAACAGGGCGACTATGCATACTTGATGGAAGCTACATCTATTGAATATAATACTGAACGTGAATGTAATCTTACTCAAATCGGAGGCCTTTTGGATTCAAAAGGTTATGGAATAGCTGTTAAAAAAGGTGAACTTGAGTAAAGTTTATCAACTCTTTTGATCATTAAAGCAGAAAGTAATATTCTGCATTGTAATTCTTATACTTGGGATTTGCTTATAAATTTAAGTCCTTGAACAATCTAGCTGTGCTAATATGATATGCAGGACATAATGTATATATATACATTTATATATATACACATATACGCTTTTATTTTATAAATTAAAAAAGGTTGATGAAGATGAGAAACAAACAGATTCTTTCCATATTATTTTAAATAGTATTGTTCATCAGGGGAAGAGTTAGAACATAAGCATGATTCTGAATTACAATGGTATTTCGATTATTTGAAACGAATGAAATTATGCTAAACGATTTGTTTGGATATTGATTTTCAAACTGAAAAATAATGCTCTGGAACAACTATTTCTGCTCGAAAACTTACATTATTTATTAACTCTCGAAATAATATTAATAATAATCAGTTAGCAATAATATCCTGCCTGTTATAAAGAGATGTTTTCGTTAATTTATGACGTCTAAAATCTTTCATCTCTCTTCAGTATTATAAAAATGCTTTGTTCATCAATGAAAAAAATTTATTGAAACTATTATTTGGACTTTTTAAATAAATACCTTGCACCAAGCATTTCTTTTTGTTACAAACAAAATAGCTTTTTAACATCATGTAACATGCCGATTTTCAAACTCTACTATACCTTTCGCCGCTTGCAAATTTTGTTTCTTGCGCACATTATCATCTGCATTCAAACTAATATCTTACAGCATAGTAATTTTTTTAAATGGCCGAGCGCTTTATCGCATGATGAAATATTATAGTTGTTAGAAATAAACTTTATTTTATTTTTATGATGTATGTGCCAAAGCAATGCTATAGTTATAGACTCTATGTTCCTTAATATACATGAGTAGCTCTTTCTTTCTTTCTTTTTTTTTTTTTTTTTTTTTTTTGCTGAACGGCAAAAGTTTAGTGAGTCAAATTTAATAAACATGTAACGTGCATTTGCGATTTGCTTTTTTTTCTACCATATTTATTACAAAATATATCTTCCATTTAAATAATTCCTATCACGTTATCAGCACAATATGCTCTAAAGAAGTTTATTTGGCAGAAACGAAGAAGAAATTTTTATTTCTTCCGAAAGGAAAAGAAGCAACATCCACAGCGCCCGCGTAGCTGAGTCTAACACGTTGAAAGTGACCCGATGGAAGAAATTAAGATTCATAAACTCGACGGAGATAATTACAATGCTTGGAAAATCTGAGCACGAGCTGTTTTAGTTAAAAAAATGCTGGGAAGCGATTGATCGAGGTTACGGTGCTGAATTAAAGAATGATGAAAAGAAAATTAATGAGAAAGCTTTAACCTTCCTATTCTTAGTGGTTGAAGACTAGTTCTTAGATGACATCGCTGACTGTGAAAGAGCGAAAGAAGCGTGGGATGCTTTAAAAGACATCCATGTAAAATCTGGACTTCTGCATTCTTTCCAACATTTAAAGGAATTTTTTACTGTAACTTTAAAACCAGGAGAAAGCGTCAGTTCTTATCTATGTTGATTGATGGACCCATCATCAGGGGAAGAGTTAGAACATAAGCATGATTCTGAATTACAATGGTATTTCGATTATTTGAAACGAATGAAATTATGCTAAACGATTTGTTTGGATATTGATTTTCAAACTGAAAAATAATGCTCTGGAACAACTATTTCTGCTCGAAAACTTACATTATTTATTAACTCTCGAAATAATATTAATAATAATCAGTTAGCGATAATATCCTGCCTGTTATAAAGAGATGTTTTCGTTAATTTATGACGTCTAAAATCTTTCATCTCTCTTCAGTATTATAAAAATGCTTTGTTCATCAATGAAAAAAATTTATTGAAACTATTATTTGTTACCGAAAGTTATCGCCTTGCGGACACGGACTTGCGGAAGAAGAAGTTGCCCTCATTATGTTAATGGGTTTGCCCAAGGAATATGAAGACCTTATCCTCAATTTAGAACCCGAGGAAGGTACGTTTTGAACTCAAATCGTAAAATCGCGTCTCATCGTTGAAGACAAAAAGTTACTGCGCTACACAGAAGTGAAATCAAAAGTTGCTACCATTGAGGTCATGAGAGAGAAAGCCCTCAAAACTCCATATAAGTACAGAATTAAAACTATGCAGCCATTACAGAAACAGCATAAAAATGCTGACAGAAATTCCGTTGCTTTTCTTGAGGGGAGTGTGGTCATATTGCCAAAAATTGCTCTGCTATTAAAGCCCCACATGCAAAAATCATTTCTAATGAAGTATATCAAGCACTATTTGTTGATTCTTGCTGTGAAAAATCTGTCTGTGAGCGGTACCTTGATAGCGGAGCCACTGAACATATGTGTTCTCAAGAGCAGAAATTTATGAATTTAGTTATGAACGTTCAACTAGATTACTTCAGTTGATACATACTGACGTAATTGGACCTATCACACTTACATCAAAAGGTGGATCAAAGTACGTCGTTACCTTTGATGATGAGTACTCAAAGTATGCTGTGTTAAAACCATGAAATCTAAAGATTGCGTCCTTCAAAAATTCTTGGAATATAAAACAAATATTGAAAATTTCCATGGACTCAAAATAACCACTCTACGAAGTGATAATGGAGGGGAATATGTCAACAATGAATTTGATGATTTCCTAACTAAAAATGGAATAACAAGACAACTCACAGTTCCCCGGACAGCACAACAAAACGGAGTTGCAGAAAAACTGAACCATACTCTATTTGATATGACTAGATGTCTTCTAGATTTCAACATCCCACTAGAATTGTGGGCAAGTGCTGTGACTACTGCCTGTTATTTGCGCAACAAGTGTCCACCAAAATCTATTGAAGAACTCTAGACCAAGAAGCCTGTGCAAAGTAGTCACCTGAGAATATTTGGCTGTCGAGGTTTCGCTCTAATTGATCAAAAGCTGCAGAAAGAAAAGCTAGAGAAGCATGCTCAAGAATGTGTGTTTATAAGATATCCCGAAGGTGTAAAAGGGTACAAAAATCAACAGGATATCAAAAATAGATTTTGAGTTATAACAATTTATTTAACTAATTTTTGCAATTTTCGTTGTTCTTGGGAAAAGGGGTGAAGGAAGCAGTTTCTCGTCAACTTTTAGGCTGTCTTTTTCACTGATGAGAGGCATTTCCAGTGGGGTGATATAGGTTTTCCGGTTCGGCCGCCTCGCATGTGTTTATTTGGCAGACGTTTTGGAGATGCGTCAATTAGTGGTTGAATTAACGCCTTGAAAATGAGAAATTTTTACAGTGCATAAGGCGGTGGGTTGAAAAATAAGTTTTTTCTCAATTTCTTGCGCTTGTTGGCAAATGTGGCAGAGTTTCAGATCTAAAAGAAGTTGCAGTAAGGAATATCTTTCTTTTGGTTGGTGGCTCTCGAATCGGTTGTACGTGCTTCCACAGCTGCGAGATGAGGGGCATTAATTTTGCTTCTCGTGGCTTAAGCATGAGAATACCTTACGCAGTTTAGTCATCATCGGGTTTTACTTTACCATCTACGTACTACAATAAAAATAGGAGTAGCGGTTTATTACAAGCTTTCCATTTAGGGAAGTATGCTGCTAATTAAAAAAAAAAAAAAAAAAATGCGAGCTTTCTCCACTGGCCATTTTGTTGTTAGAATCGTCAGCCTGTCATTTTTTATCCTCTAAAGAAAAATAAATCCGCCTCCAATCTTGCCTGTAGCCTGCGGGAGATCCTAACTGGACATTTTCCATCTTGTGTTCCTGAATGCTCTTTCGGACCTGCTGAAGAGCGATTCCTGAATTTCCAGTTACCTTCCCCGTCGATGATATTTTGTGTTCCTATATGCTCCTTCGGACCTTCTAAAGAGTGATTCCTAAATTTCTAGTTTCCATCTCAGACGATGTTTACCAATATCTCACCGTTGGACTCAGGATGTAGCTTCTCCAGTTTGCTTGTTCCTGCGGCGGCGACCATGCTACCTTTCTTCTTGTCTTCGGGCTCTCTGTCTTTATGAAATATCTAGGACGCTTCCGGAGATAAAGATAAATATGACCTCTATTTTTGTTTGGTTTATAATACCCAGGTTAATGGTTAAAATTTCAGCCTTATTTAATTGAGAAACATTTTTGCTCTTTACTAAGTTAGGAGATTTTTAGGGTTGCCTAGGTGATCTGATCAGTTTAAGAAAATTGCTTTTCTATTCAGTACCTATGGAGTTTCTCCATGTTAATGATAAATGCTTAAAGTAAAATTTAAGATGTCTAAGAAGTAAAAAAAATCTTGAAAACAAATGTTCTGTTATTGATGTTTCATACCCCCGTTTCCGCTACGAGGTTTAACAGTTAAAGGCAGTACTAATTTTACGCAATATAAGAATTTATAATACTTAATTCTTCCTGTTACCTACTTAATTCCATAATGTTATGATGTTATGAAACAACTGTGTTATTGTTATGGAGGCCGGTGGCGAAGTGGCTAACGCATCGCGCAGCAGCACCACAGGTCCGGGGTTCGATTCCCGGGCTGGGCAAGGTAGACTCAGCCTTTCATCCCTTGATTTCCATCACTTGGGTCGATAAAATGAGTACCAAGTTCGCTTGGGGACTAAACACTAGGGGTCTTGCGACAAGCTGACCACTTGCATTCAGGGCATATGCTTACGTAACCCGGCGCCCACGGTCATGAAAGCAGATTCGGGCACTGCAGGCCTTGGCTCATTAGGGTTGTTACGTCACTGAGTTTAGTTTGGTGTCCTTGGTATGAGGTGGAATGTCCCAATGTTCAGTTTACAAGAACTGCTATTCCTTCTAATTACCTTGAGAAACATCTAATAATCCTGAATGGTAACAGGGAGCTTACTCAAGCCATGTTCGTGTCTGTGTGGAATAAACGACACAAGTACGAAGGGTTAAATACCCTTTATTCTCCACGAATTACAGGTGCTCCCGTATTTCGGGATACAAAGACCAACCACTTGTGGTCTG